TATTTAAAAAATACAACTTTGATATTTTATTTATTTGGGACACTCTGTATCTTGTAAAATATTTTTAAATTGTAGCTCTAATAGTCCTTCAACGAACCCCAAACTTACAATTTGTAAAAATATCATCGTTTAGCCACAATACTCCGTGTCGTATGTGGTGAACAACCCTGTATAAACAGTTATTATTTATATCAACAAAACTCACCTCCTTAACAGCGCTTAAGGGACATAAAGACTATTACTATTGATTTCCCGTTCAAAATATTCTAATCAGGTTGCGATGAGTTTTTTGCAATGGCTATTAGGCTATCTTGTACACTTCGCAGTAAAAGAGGTTCTAAAAAGAACAGTGTTCGACTGCAAGGTCTGCTAGTAAAAATTTCAAACTTAAAAAAAAAAAAAAAAAAAAAAAAATACAAAACTAAAGTGTCAAAACGAATGACAATGTCAGGAAATCAATATATAAATGTGGCAACTTGACATTTTTTTCAGCAGAGCTACCACCTGAATCCCCATCGCGAAATTTAAATTCCAGTTAATCAGTACGGCGCCGAATATGTTCATGGTTGGCAACAATGAATTTAAAAATCGCGCTCTGGATTACGTAACTAAAAGTTTAATGGGTATGAACTATAGGTGTCATTGGCTGCTAACACATTTTTGGTAATTCTTTTGGTAATTTTCTTAAATAAAATATTTTTATTCCTAAGGACATTGTTCAGACAATAACAAACATTTTAAAATAAAAACCAGTCTAATCGGTTCATGTTTTCTCAAGTTATTCTCTTCAAACAAACAGCATTTCATTTTATATAAATGACATCATTTTTATTCACCCTGTATACGTGTACGTATATGCAAAGACACGTGTTTACCATATTGTAATATGAGGAATTTATTGCTATCCATTCGGGCGAGAACACAGCTACATTTCAGACGTACGATTATCAGAATTTTTCATTTTTTATGTTTGTTAGTGTGTATTAAATTCCGTTTTGTTGTATTTATTAACGTTTTGTATTAATGTGAAAGAAAACTAATTTATTTATAATTATAAGTCCTCAAAAATTATTGTTAATATTAAGAAAATGTTCATACCGAGGCAAACTGGAAAGAAGTTGGCAGTGACACAGGTGATTAAGTGCTTCTTGTTCTGTACAAACGCTCACAGAGAAAAACTGGGTATGTAGTCTATTAATTTGCTATAAGACAACCGCAGCCGTCTTTGATGCCGTTTTTTTTTCGATCATACTGCTTTAATACAAATCATTATAAAAAATCACCAAGAAATTATTGGTTTTCGCGATTTTTATTCAATCTTTCATGTCCTTTAAGTGTTTCTAGTGTTTTATTATATCAAACATTCAATATAAACACAGTAATAAGTGACTTATACCGGGTGCGTCTCAAAAGTGGCTCACCCCCTATAACTTTTTTATTTTTTCAGATAAAAAAACGAGATTTGATATGTTAGTATATGGCATAAATTAGGATTGATTGACGTATTCAATTGTATTTGGTCACTTCCTGTTTTACCGGAAATGACAACAACTTTTTATTTTTAAATGGCACCCACGGTATTTTTTGACTTTATTCGATGGAAAATGACACTCTGAATAAAATGACATATGATATGTCAACTTTTGACATTCTCGCTTAATAAAAAATCGTATTTTAAATTTCAATCTAGTGTGCCATGGCTATGTTAAAAACACTAATTTGTAATCAAGGAGCCTTGGAAAAATAGATTTGATCGTCTATAATGTTTTAGTGTCTTGTCCTGGTCGGTTAAAAGATGCCCAAATCGTGTTTTTAATCATATCTCAATTTTTTCAAATGGAATGAGGGTGGCTCATTAGCATATTTGAAAAGGCATTTTTTTATGAATAATTTGGTACCACACACTTGGTATTTCGAGAGTCAAATTGTCGTTATGATCCGCATAACAATTTCAAATAAACCATATGAGAAAATGTCAAAAGTTCACATATGATATGTCATTCTACTTAGAGTGTCATTTCCTATCGAATTAAGTAAAAAAATACCGCGTGTGTCATTTAAAAATAAAAAGTTGTTGTCATTTCCGGTGAAACAGGAAGTAATCAAAAACAATTGAATACGTAAATCAGTCCTAATTTATGTCATATTATACTAACATACTAAATCTCAAATAAAAAAGTTATAGGGGTGAGCCACTTTTGAGACGCACCCGGTATACAGGGTTGTTCACCACATACGACACAGAGTATTGTAGCTAAACGATGAGATTTTTACAAATTGTAAGTTTGGAGTTCGTTAGACTATTAGAGCTACAATTTAAAAATATTTTTACAAGATACAGAGTGTCCCAAATAAATAAAAAATATCAAAGTTGTATTTTTTTAAATGGAACACCTTGTATATTATTACATTTTTAGTTTCTACGATTAAAATAAAGGTAAATTTGATTAAGGTTTATTATACTTAAACCTTACCGTTTTTGAAATATTTTCAATTTTGTGAAATTGCAGTAAAAATTTTAAAGCTTCATTTCTCCAAGGGTATCAATGTTCTAAATATTTAATGAAGTTTATTTATTGATCAGTTATTATGTTGCAATAATAAAAATAATACTACCTTATACAGAGTGTCTAAAATTTATTTTAAATAATTATTAGCTTCAAACGGCAATAACTTCTTTAATTTAAATAGAATGCCCTGTATATTTTAGGAGAATCAGATGCACAATTAAATTGTCTATCAAATTGTATTATATCATTTTTACCTATCCCTTCAAGTTTTCGTAGAAAATGCATTTTCTTATAATTTAGACCTCATTTATCAATATATCCATGGAATATTGACATTTTAGATTGTTTTTAAAGCAACAAATGTACAAAATGTACAGACCGATAATATTACTAGCCCATTTGTATGCAAAAAGAAAACTATTTAAATCTTTATAAAAGGGTATACCATTAATTAAATATAACACCATTATTTCCGCCCATATACTAATTAATGGCATACTTAATTGTGTTCGTTAATAAATTATTATAAATAAATGTGGATTTTTGAGTTAGAAATCAATATAATAATAAGTTATCAAATTAAAGTCTTTGTTGTTATAAATAAGCATTTATTAAAAAATGAGATATCATTTTTAAGGTGTTACTTTTATCACACTGTCTAATGCCCATACAAAATTCAGTTTTTTAGTATTTGGAGCAATTATTATTAATCAACGCAGTCAGTTAATGTAGTTTGAATACTGGAATCATATTAATTGATCCTCTTTAACAAATATTTAAACAGTTTTTTTTATTTTTTAATGAAATAAACGAATTATATCGGTAATATTAGTATCTGTACTCTTTAAAAATTTATTACATCTTTCAAAATAATCTAAAATGTCAATATTCCATGGGTAAATTGATAAATAAGTTCTCAATTACAAGAAAATGCATTTTCTACGGAAACTTAAAGAGATAGGTAAAAAATGGTATAATATAATTTGATAGACAATTAAATTTTGCATCTGATTCTCCTAAAATATACAGGGTGTTCCATTTAAATTAAACAAGTTATTGCCGTTTAAAGCTAATAAATATTTAAAATAAATTTTTAGACACTCTGTATAAGGTAGTATTTTTTATTGTTCCAACACAATAACTGATCAATAAATAAATTTCAGTAAATATTTAGTATTAAAAACTTTGATACCCTTGGAGAAATGAAGCCTTAAAATTCTTACTGCAATTTCACAAAATTGAAAATATTTCAAAAACGGTAAAGTTTAAGTATAATAAATCTTAATCAAATTTACCTTTATTTTAATCGTAGAAACTAAAAATGTAATAATATACAGGGTGTTCCATTTAAAAAAATACAACTTTGATATTTTTTACTTATTTGGGTCACTCTGTATCTTGTAAAATTATTTTTAAATTGTACCTCTAATAGTCCTTCATCGAACCCAAAACTTACAATTTTAATTATATTATATAACAAAAGTTATCGTTTTTATATAATACACATACCTACACATAGGGTTCAGTTTAAAATAACGAAGATTTGAGAAATTTTATAAAAAACACACACACATTTTTTACCCCCCTGTATGCACGTCGTATATTGAAATTTCTTCCTAAATTCATAACCCAAATTTCAATTCATATTTATTACTTAGTTATTTTCATAATACACATTTTTGTCAATATTTTACATAGGTACATATTTACTTTTTTCTCGAAAACCATTAGAGATACATGTAGAGAAGTATAATAGAAAGATTATGGGCACTTTGACAGTAGAGTAGAGAGAGATTTGAAAGAAAGCCAAAAATGGAACAATATACAGGACATTCCATTTAAAATTTTAAATGTGCTACTACTTTTCAAATGAAGTGCAAACACTGTAACGCTGAAAATATTTTAGGTCGATAGAACATGTGTGTGTTTATGTAGGGATCAAAAAAAAAAGATATTACCTACTCATTTTCCATAAACATCTAAATTACCAACACCATCACCCTGTATATAGTACAGAGCTATCTCTGTTCTTATTACTTATGTGGTTATTATTAAAAATTATATTAAGATCCTATTAATTCTTAAGAATACTATTACATATAACGTTTTTTAAATGCTGCTTGGCATATTGTTAGAAATATTTTTCGTAATAATTGTACCGTATGGTCGAAAAAAAAACGGCGTTAGCAGTGGCTATGAAATGTAGATCGCTGTCATTTTTTATATGTAAAATTATATGGAGAATGTCATCGATCGTCATTTCCAAGCCAACTGGACGCCGTTTTTGTCGATCATACGGTATTAAGAATATTTTTAACGTATATTGATAGAAAATTAACTTATCACTTTATTATTATCTATTTTTAAAACAATATTACGTGGTATTTATTTATGTTGTAATTAATAGGAATTAAATAGGAATTAATAATAGCATTAGTAATATTTAGTAATAGCATTTAAATGTTCTAATTTAAATTATTTTATTTACAGGAAGTATTTATAGAAGAGGTGCCAGAAGATGGCGGAAGTTGTATAGAGTCAACGGCCATATTTTTCAGGCAAAGAGGTTTAACAGAGTAAGTAGTGTTTACTAAAATTCTAAAATAATTACAGGGTGTTTCAAAAAACATGTGCCATCTCTCGTGGGGAGAATCCTCGCGTAAAAATAAGATAAGATATCAACATAGGTCCGATCCTGCTTTGTTTCGTACCCAAGTAGCATCTATCTGACTTCGAACTAAATCTGACCTGAAGCGACGTCAGACTTTGTGCAAATTTAGGTCGGGTGCTCGTGATACGACCTGTGACGTCGCTTTCCTATTAAAAGCGACGTCGTTGGATCCGAGTCGGTAAATCCAACGATATGTCGACGTACAAAATAACAGCGTACCATTTTTATTAATTTCCCAACGTCGTTCCCACGTTGGCTTGCACGACGTACATATACTTGAACTAGCCCGACGTCTACCCGTTGTCAGAATAGGATACGTCTCACTGATAATCCCTAAAGTAACGTCCAATTATATTTTGTTGTATTTTATGTTCATATTTATAACCTAATTTACGTATCTCTATTTATGTCCATAAATACAACCCATTAAGTAGCATTTGCGACCTAATGAACATCATGAACTAATAAAAAGTGTTTGTAAACAAACTTAAATTTTTTATTATGCCTAAAAAAAACACTAAAAAGGCATTTGACATTCATCTACATTTTACAGAAAGAGGTCGAGGCTTTTGCAAAATAATAATAGTAGTAGTGATGTCTTGCCTCCACCCGTAAATGCTTTTTATCCGGAAGAGATGCTGCATTACACTGGTGCATCTTAATTTCATTTTTTAGCTTAGGATACCAGCAGATCCCATCCTCCACCGACATGTGAGGTTAGGCTTAAAAAAAGTGGCTGCCCATTTTTTTTAACGAGAAAACAAAAACTTAAATATAGTTGCACAAATCCACAAATCACTGATACGCAAAATGCAAAGTGAGGTTACGTGGCGTACGTTGGAATTATATACGTCATAATACGATTGCCGGTCGTCCGGTTTGATGACTTCGGTCGTGTGAGACGACTAATGTTGGAGACCCGGTCGGAATTGGTATATTGGTAGTTCATATTAAGTCGGACACAGAAATCCGCCATTCTTAACACGTATCCGATTGTCAGCCATTTTAAAATCGTTTTTTGTTTTTAAAATTTATATTCACATTTCGATTTCTAGTAGAATAATATTGATAAGGTTGAGTTTGGGGGGAACCACAGTACAGTTTTATGATTAAACCAGCTAGAAAATTTTAAAAAAATATTTTGCGAGTTACTTTTTATAGATATTTTTATTTCATAAATCTACCTAATTTTGAAGGCGCTTTTTTGTTTTCCAGAGTATTTTAATCAGATATATCAAGAAAGTGACTTCCGTTGACAAAACTGATGTCTGGATTAATGATTCAGAAGTATTATAATATGAAATTAGATAGGCACTTATAGTTATATTCGAGGAGTGATTATGAATCCATTTGTAATTAGGTAGTTTGGTTAGGTTTTTATGTATTCTTGGTAGCGAATATGAAACCAAACGTAACGTAAGTGCTTAGCGACGAATTTTAAGTGACTAAAATCCAACGTAATATGACGTTGGTAATTGGTAGAATTAAATTCCCTATTAGGTCAGATACCGACGTCGAGGCGACCCGAATCTGTATTCCCCATTTAGGTGTAAATAAGGGTCGTCAGGCGGTCGAACCGACGTTGGTACCCGACGTCGGGTTTATTGAACGCGACGTATACCCGACGTTAGATAACGTCCAAATGCTACTTGGGTAGCTACAGGGTGTTAAATTTTTAACATTTTTTCGATATATTATTATCGTTTTGAATGAAATTTTGACGGTAAAAGTTATTATAAATGCGACATATTTTAAGCTAAAAAAGTGTCGACACAATTTATCAGGGACGTGCATATGGGTTGTCACTGGAATATTTTTCTGAAAAAAGCATGTACGCCACTGACTTTTTTTTCTCTTGTTAGCATAATAGTTTAAGCAATTTAATGCCGGTTAAAAGTTGTCTCTTGATTTTTTGTCGATTTCGGCCTCCTCGATGAGATAAACGCAACTTTATTAATTTGCCTTGATCCAAGTCTAATAGCAGCCTTTAAAAAATTGTTATATCATTAACTTGCGAAAGTCTTAAAAATTATTCATTGATTCCTCATCAAAAAATATGAAAAAAAGTTCCTATAAACATGGGTTTGGAAATGCATAGTTTTAGAGTTACAGGATGTTAAAACTTTTTAAAATTAGATTTTTTGTAATTATCTTAAATACCATTAGTTTTTATTTGAAATTGCTGTAGGTTGGACTAATAGTAATAATATTTAATAAGAAATTAGGTAAAATATATAATTTTTTAATTTTATTTTTATTTTAATTTTTTTAATTGTGACTAATAAAATTGCGTTTATCTCATCAAGGAAACCGAATCCGACAAAATATCAAGAGATATAGTTTTTAATTGGCATTAAACGACCTACACAATTTTGATATCAAAAGAAAAAAAGAAAAAACTCAGTGGCGCACATGTTTTTTTTTTTGAAAAATATTCCAGTGATAACCCATACGCACGTCCCTGATGAATGTATCGACACTTTTTTAGCATTAAAATATGTAGCACTTATAGTAACTTTTACCCTCAAAATTTTGTTCGAATCATTAAAAGTACTTGGAAGAAAATTATAATAAATGGAAAAAATAAGACTTTAACACCCTGTAGTTACGAAACAAAGCAGAATCGGACCTATGTTGATATATGAAAAATAAATCTTATTTTTACGTGAGAAATCTCCACACGAGAGATGGCACATGGTTTTTTGAAACACCCTGTATAATTTATTATACTTAATAAAATATGGTTGGTTTTAACAATAGATATTGAAGAATAGAATAAAAAAGTAATAACATGTGATTTTTATCTGGAAAAAAAAAGAAAATATAGAGACAATAAATAAAAAAAAGCAATAAATAAAGCAAATAAGAAAATATAGAGACACTCTAACATATGAGTAAAAATGGAAGGGGTGGCTGCAATAACCAGGCAGCTCCACTTTTTTTCGAAAATGAGATTTTTAATGAATCACATGAACACCCTTTAAAAAAATTGGCCAATCGTGTCCTGCAACAATCAGTTCTCTCAATATAACAGTACATAAATGGCGACGTTAGTTGGAGCTGCCTTGCTCTGGGTTTGCAACAAGAACCGAGCAGTTCTTTTTCGATTTCGCACAAATTTATGAAAATGAAGTTGCCTGGTTATTGCAGTCGCCCTTTCAATTGGCTTGTAATCAATATTAACATTATTGTATTAACTAAATTTAACGCTTTTTTCAGAAGGCTTTTTGCGCCTACTGCCATGACCGCATCTGGGGCCTGGGCAGGCAGGGCTTCAAGTGCATCCAGTGCAAGCTGCTGGTGCACAAGAAGTGCCACAAGGCGGTGAACGTGGCCTGCACCAGCGAGCACCACATCGACGCCATGACACGCGAAGACAGGAACGGGGAGGTGCAGCAGATAATCGTGGGCACGCCCAACAATGACACCCTGTCGGACAGTTTAAGGAACAGGGACTATGACGAGCCTCAGCCAGATATTACAGGTAATAACTGCTTACCCCCCCCATACACGTTGAAATATTCTCCATAATACATATGCATTTACTATACAGAGTACAGTACTTTCAAGGCTGGTAGATCTTTTTAACTGAAAATTAAAAAAAATGCCGAAAAAAAATCCCAGATATTTTTCTGAATTAGCCGCCTTCGGTCCATCTTTGGACATAAGCCTCCCTCAATCTTTTTCGCTCTTCTTTGTCTGTGGTCATACTCATCTATCCCGTCCCTGTATGTTTCCTCTGATCGTCCGCCTATCTCATCTGATGTCTTCCTCTATCTCTTCTATTTTCCGCAGGGCCTGCAGTTTTTGATGCATTTATACATTAGTATATATCTTTTTATAAGTAGATGATTAAAGGTAATAGAGTGGTAATATGTATTTGCAGGTGATGTTATGTTAATAGAACACCAGTGCCGGTCTCCGGACGCGCTGGAATCCGACTCCAGACGTCAGTACACCCTGAACGACTTTGAACTGATCAGGGTGATTGGACGAGGCTCGTATGCCAAAGTACTCATGGTCGAACTCAAGAAGACTAAACGTATTTACGCGATGAAGGTAAGAAAAATACAATCTAAAAACTGTCCATCGTGTCAGGGAAGATTTTGATAGACGACATCCAAGAAATGACAGGAAATTAGTGGGAAATTAAGTTGTCTTGATTTTGGTCTTGGCCTTTTAAGCATTCTGGTTTAAATTACCCAAGTAGCATTTTCACGACTTGCGACCACATGTTTACTAAACACAACATTGGATTAGTTACAAAAAATAGTTAGCTCCCTACCTCATGTATTAAAATAAATTTAAACGTTTTTATAATGTTGTGCTGACGTTGGACTAGTACTACAGCAAAGTAGAAGCTTCTGCTACGTCGAATAAACGTTGTCTTGTAACCTTTTTTGCTTAAGTGATCTTTGGGTGATTCGGACAACGTAGTTACAACGTTGGACAATATAAAGTTTTCCGACGTCAGTTTCAGGACCTATTCCAACGTTATGCAAACGTCATCGGTTTTACTAATTCCAACGTTGTTTAGATTTCCTTATTCTTACGTTGGTAGGACGTCGAGTCACTACCTTTTAGCAACTGTATTGTACCATAACCTTAAATCTTAAATTTTCACTTCATTGTTCTGTTCAGTCAGACAGTTCAGTGCTGTTTTTGTTTTTATAAAAAAAAACTTAATTAAAATGGGACATGAGAAAGGTACATATATATAAAACTAAATTTAAATATACATCGACATATATTACCGATAGTTTATCCACCCCCTCGTTTATTTAGATTATAGAGGGCGGCACAAGCTAGACTCTAGGATGACTAAATTAGGCAATCTTGCGACTAGTATACTACCTGTTAAGGCCGAACTGCGACTTTATTAGTCCAGTATGCGACTACTCGAACTACTCCATCTTAATCTCGAAAACAACAAAGTGAAAGCCGCCATGTTGTTAAATAAGAAAAATGTTTCGTTCCTAAAATAGCAATTCCTGCTTTTTGAATACATTAACTTGAAATATTTGACCTAAAAACACGCGGAAACAATTTTTCGACTGCGAATAAATTATTCTCATTTTACTAAAAAAAAAATTCAAGAAAAATTTTAAAACTTCTTTAATTTTAAGGCCCATTAGTATTTTTCAAAGTAGAAACAATACATTTATCAATAAAGTTGTTTGCGTTTAACTTTTTTGCCTTGGGTAACGAGTTACAGAGTCGGTTAAAGTGTTTCAATAATTATGATCTTCAAACATCCTCAACACTTAAATAATTTTGTTTTGTTTTCCTTCACTGCCATCTGACATATGTCTCTAACTAAATCATAAAAATAATATTTTTACTATAATTGTCCCAATTTAGGATAAAACGCGACTTAGACGCCATATTAGTTTTGTATTTCTGTGAATTAGGATTTTAAACAACGTTGCAGTTTGTACTAAATTAGGCTTCTAGCCAACGTCGGTATCCAACGTCGTTTCGACCCAAAAATTATTCTCCAAACTAGTGCAGACTAGGGTTGGCACGAGGTTGTGCCGACGTTGTGCCCCGACGTTTGGTCGCGTGACACAACGTTGTCCCGACCTCCAAATGCTGCTTGGGTATTTTTGTGCGATACCAAAACCAGTCTAGTTTATCATTAAAAATAATCAGAAATGATACACTATAAAAACATAAAAATAGGCAGCAAACTACAAACTTTTTATCAAGATTATTTGTTGAATGTGTTGTATGTTTCAGGTGATTAAAAAAGCTCTTGTGACAGACGACGAAGACATCGACTGGGTCCAGACCGAAAAACACGTGTTCGAAACGGCCTCAAACCACCCGTTTCTCGTGGGCCTGCACTCGTGCTTCCAGACTCCTTCCAGACTCTTCTTCGTCATCGAATTCGTCAGGGGTGGCGACCTCATGTTTCATATGCAAAGGTAAGACTGCGACCTTGTAGTAAATCCCACCCGTAGGTACGCAGACCCTGGTTGCGGAGATCGACGCTAAAGTTGAAAGTTTGGTGCAAATATCTTTAGATCATAAGTTATTCTATATATTGTTTCTGGTTGCCCTTTTGCGAGCTAAGATATTCGCCCATGCACGGACGAAAAAAGTTAGTACACTTAACAAGGCCCTTATTCTCACAAACCACAAACATCGGCATGAAGGAACAGTAAACGATTTTATTTAGATTACTTTCAAACTGAAATTATTTACGCTAATTTACAGTATAAATAGATTCCATTAAATGCATACGCATGTTATATATTTGCTTTGTCAGATCAAATAAATAAAGAAATGCTTTAGAACAGAATTACAACAGGAAAACAAAATAATATGATTTAATTAACATTAGTTAAATAATGAGAAAACATTTACTTTACCTTTAGTAACATTCTTTGTTACAAAACTTACAAACAAAATAACATCAATGCGTCTCGAATCGTAATCTAAAAGCTATTATTTAACAACTATCATCTCCGGTCGGCACCTGATTTTCCTCTCCCTAGTTTGTGAATAATATTTTAGAAATCAATAATTTTATTTATGTATACAGGAGTGTTTAAAAAATGAATGTTTTGAATTTAAAGAAATTTGTCTATTTTTAAATAAGCGGTTCATCTCAGTAGTATGTTTTTATTAATACTAATGTCTTTTTATATATATTTTTCTTTATATCTATTGAAATAAACTTATATTATAACATAACATACCGGGTGCATCTCAAAAATATCTCACCCCAAATAACTTTTTTATTTTTTCAGATATAAAAACGAGATTTGGTATGTTAGTATAAGACATAAATTAGGATTGATTGACATATTCAGTTCTTTTGGGCCACTTCCTGTTTCACCGGAAATGACTACAACTTTGATTTTTAAATGGCACCCTCGGTATTTTTTTACTTTATTCGATAGAAAATGACACTCCGAATAGAATGACATATCATATGTCAACTTTTGACATTTTCGCTTAAAACAAAATTGTATTTTAAATTTCAATCTAGAGCGCCATTGCTGTGATAAAAACACTAATATTTAATCAAGGAGCTTTGGAAAAATAGATTTGATCGTCTAATGTTTTTCGTGTCTTGTCCTGGCCGGTTAAAACATGCCCAAATCGTATTTTTAATAATATCTCAATTTTTTCAAATGGAACAGGGGTCGCACATTAGCATCACCACACCTAAATATCCTATTTCTAATATCTATACCTAAACATCTATTTCGGTTCAATAATTTCGTTGTAGAAATACCTAAAAAAAATTTCGTCGGAATCGATCGTCGTGTCAAAGAATTGTAGAAGTACCTAAAATTTTATTTCGTGCTATTATTTCGTTATAGAAGTACCCAAAGATTTTTTTTAATTTAAATTGATCGACGGGTCAAAAAATTGTACTAGTACCTAAACATCTATTTCGGTTCAATAATTTCGTTGTAGAAATACATAAAAAAATTTTCGTCGGAATCAATCGTGCCAAAACATTGTACGAGTACCTAAATATTTATTTCGATGCTATGATTTCGTTGCAGAAATACCTAAAGATTTTTTTCGTATAAATCGATCGACGCCACGGGTCAAAAATTGTACGAGTACCTAAAATTTTATTTCCGTGCTATGATTTCGTTGTAGAGGTACCTAAAAATATTTTCCGTTTAAATCGATCGTCGTGTCAAAGAATTCTACAAGTACCTAAAAATTTATTTCGTACTATTATTTCGTTATAGAAGTACCTAAAGATTTTTTTCATTTAAATTGATCGACGGGTCAAAAAATTGTACGAGTACCTAAACATCTATTTCGGTTCAATAATTTCGTTGTAGAAATACCTAAAAAAATTATCGTCGGAATCGATCGTCGTGTCAAAAAATTGTACAAGTACCTAAAAATTTATTTCGTGCTATTATTTCGTTATGGAAGTACCTAAAGATTTTTTTCATTTAAATTGATCGATGGGTCAAAAAATTGTACGAGTACCTAAACATCTATTTCGGTTCAATAATTTCGTTGTAGAAATACCTAAAAAAAAATTCCTCGGAATCGATGGTCGTGTAAAAAAAAATATACAAGTACCTAAAATTTACGTCGATGCTATGATTTTGTTGCAGAAGTACCTAAAGATTTTTTCATCTAAATCGATCGACGCGACGGATCAAAAAGTGTACGAGTACCTAAAAATTTATTTCGTGCTATGATTTCGTTATAGCGAAGCCTTAGCTTATACCTAAAGATTTTTTTCATTTAAATTGATCGACGGGTCAAAAAATTGTACGAGTACCTAACCATCTATTCCGGTTCAATAATTTCATTGTAGAAATACCTAAAAAAATTTCCTCGGAATCGATCGTAGTGTGAAAGAATTGTACAAGTACCTAAAAATTTATTTCGTAGAAATATCTAAATGGTGGTATTTCGAGTCAAGTTGTCGTTACGAATTGCATGTTGCAATTTCAAATAAACCATATTCGAAAATGTCAAAAGTTGACATATGATATGTCATTCTATTCAGAGTGGTATTTTCTATCGAATGAAGTAAAAAAATACCGTGAGTGCCATTTAAAAATCCAAACTTGAAGTAATTTCCGGTGAAACAGGAAGTGACTGAAAACAATTGAATACGTCAATCAATCCTAATTTATGTCATATACTGATATACCAAATCTCTTTTTTTTTATCTGAAAAAATAAAAAGTTATAGGGGTGAGCCACTTTTGAGACGCGCCCGGTATATGGAATCCCATTTAAAAAAATAATTACAATGAAAAAGAACATTAGATAATCATAATTCTCTTTGCTGCTTTATTATCCATCATCATATCATACTGACAGAAACATATTTGAAGTAAAGCTAGTCATCCATCTAGAAACTTCAACTTTATTTCTAAAAGAATATCAAACTCAACTTCTAAAAAGTATATAACGTATATTCCGCTGTATTTTCTTTATTTTTATGTTTCCCTTCATTCTAATAAAACTTCACAGCGGAACTTTTACCAAATCAAAAAATATACCCCGAGTTTTTCACTTAAACTTCTGGAGATAAACTATTTGGCAGTTCTCTTCTTTAAAAATAACGTAAATGAAAAGATACAATCAATTTAATAAAAAGATACTTCAAAAGTTTCTCGGTTTTCCAATTTGTTATGTTAGGCAATAACTTTCTTGAAGTTATTTGGACATTTTCAAAGTTGTTTTTTCGTTTTATTTGTAAGACACTTGTGTTTTGTTTGAAAACTTTTTATATTTTTTGGGTTTTATTACAATAAGGAGGATTATTGTTCGAATTTATTTTATTTAGTCTATCTATGCTAAGATGCATTTGTGTAGGGAATTTGCAGTATGTTTTATTGCAAAAAAATTGTTTTGCAAAATTGCGTGTAACAAATAGTTTTTTACGTGTATCAAATAGTTTTTTACTCGTAATAAATAATTTTATACGCGTAAGATAAAAAAATAATAAATAATTTGATTCATTTTCATAAAAAATTGTATTAAAATATCAATATATATGTACATATTATATAAAATGCTAATGTTTATCTCTGTCGTCTCTACTGAAGAAACGACTTGCCCTAGAAAGTTGCTTTTTTTACTAAAAGCTTGCTAATTGGCTCTTCTAAAAACTGTCGTCGCCGCATTTTTTGTTTTTCATTTAATTAAACAAAAAATAAAAAGTTTTTTTTCCTGATGTCGCGTCGCGTCGCGTCGTGGCGAATGCGCCAGGTTTCAACTAGTTTCTGATAAACACATAGACTGAACACAACTTCTTTTATCGAGATCTACCAGCCCTGAATATATTTGCCTTATTTCATAATTTCAAGACTCATCCTGTATTGGGAGGTATGCAGAGTTTCATGTCAATGATCGTAACTTGACTAGCTGTCATAGATAAAAGACTTATCTATCTCTCTAATGAACAGATTGTGGTTTGGGGGTGTCAAATATTAGTTACTATATTGTTAACCTCTTATCCACAAAGATATTTATTATACAGGGTGGTACGAACTGTATTCCGGAAACTTCGGCGGTATATTTTGCATATAAAAATAGTAAACTAAATTTAAACCATCTTTTTTTAGGGTATGTTTTTAAAACAAATTCAATTCGAGTATTTTACAAACAATATTCGTCCATATATCGACATTAAAAAGCTTTTTACGCTAAAAATAGTAATAAAATTATGTTCAGCTAATGGATTTCGAGGGTAATGAAATTTTGTAAATTCGACGCTATGTTTTTCGTAATATATTTAATAGAGTAATTTGTTATGTTGCCAGAGTTCATTTTTGATGTTTTTTTTTATTTGAAAAACGTACATCTAAATCCAATTTTCTTTTTATAAAAAATATACAGGGTGGTCCGAACTATATTCCGGAAACTTCGGCAGCATATTCTGCAGATAAAAATAAGTAAAAAAGTTCCAATAAATGTATGTCCTAAAATGCTTAGTTTCGGAGATATGCAGGGTGTAGAAGTTTCATTTTTATTTCGATTTTTTCGTAATAATTTATGAAGTAACGTCAATATTTGGATGAAAATTGATGTCTGAGAGTTTTTTGACATGATAAATTTGGATTTTGATGTCAATATGACTCCTACTTGTAGAGGGCGCCATCTGCATATTTTTTAACTGGTTTGGAGAGTAATAACTTTTTGTCCGCTCCTGTATAAAACTACCGAGTAAAAAAATATACATTTACGACGTTTTTCACGTAAAAAAAGTCTCTTGGTAAAAATCCCTACGAGTAATGAGTAATGGTTCTTGAGATATTCGAAATCGAATCGTGTTTATTTTTTGTCAATAATCATCTGTATTGACTATTTCCATTCTAAATATTTTGAAAACGGTTGCTCGTAGTGATTTTTACCAAGAGACATTTTTTACGTAGAAAGTCACGATAAATGTGTATTTTTCCACTAACTAGTTTTATACAGGTACGAATTAAAAGATATAACTCTTCAAAACAGTTAAAACAAATGTAGGTGGCACCTCGTACAACTAGGAGTCATATTGACATCAAAATCAAATTTCTCTTATCAAAAAACTCCCAGACACCAATTTTCATCCAATTATTGACGTTACTTCAGAACTTATTTGGAAAAAATCGAAATATACAGGGTGTTTCAAAACAAATGCGAAAAACTTCAGGGGGTGATTCCTTGTTCAAAATAAAGGGTAGTTTGCTTTATAAAAGTTGGGTCAAAAGTCAACCATTAGGGAGATATCGCGGTACAAAGATGGCGGAAAAATAATGTTTTTTTTATCTTGAAAACGAAAAGAGATACGCTAATGAAATTTTATGGAAGCATTACTGTTATGAAAACACACTTTCTGGTAATTTTTTCACTTTTTTAAAATGAGTGGAAGTGGTTGAAATAAACTACCCCTATCATTCTTGTTAAAGAAATTTAAAGAAAAAATCTTATCAATCACATGAAAAACTAAAATAAATTTGGATAGTTTAGTTTGTTTAGAAACTTATTTATCTCTTGTGTTTTTTTTATAAAACTCACCGATTTGAAATTAAAAAATAAAATGTAAAGCATTACCATGTCAGGACAAAAAACATTTTTAGATAAAGAATCTAGTGGGCTGCTGTAATTTTTTTAGGAAAAAATCTAGTCGGCCTCTGTCATTTTTTAGGGTGTTTCTTATATTATTTTATTTGACATTACTCTACTGCAATACGTTATTATCTTACGATTAATTATTCCTTTTTTCTTTATCTAAAAATGTTTTTGTCCTGACATGTAATGCTTTACATTTTATTTTTTAATTTCAAATCGGTGAGTTTTATCAAAAAAACACAAGAGATAAAAAAGTTTCTAAACAAACTAAACTATCCAAATTATTTGTTTTTGCATGTGTTTGGTAAGGTTTTTCTTTAAATTTCGTTAACAAGAATGATAGATGTAGTTTATTTCAACCCGTTCCACTCATTTTAAAAAAGTGAAAAAATTACCAGAAAGTGTGTTTTCATAACAGTAATGCTTAAATAAAATTTCATTAGCCTATCTCTTTTCGTTTTCAAGATAAAAAATTAAAACTTTATTTCTCTGCCATCTTTGTACCGCGATATCTCCCTAATGGTTGACTTTTGACCCAACGTTTATAAAGCAAACTACCCTTTATTTTTAACAAGGAATCACCTCCTGAAGTTTTTCGCATTTGTTTTGAAACACCGTGTATATGAAACTTCTACACCCTGTTTCTCCGAAACTAAGCCTTTTAGGACATACATTTATACGAACTTTTTTACTTATTTTTATCTGCAGAATATGCTGCCAAAGTAAGGAGTTTCCGGAGTACAGTTCGTTTATAAATACTCCTTTTCCAGGCAGAGGAAACTATCCGAAGACCACGCTAGGTTCTACTCGGCCGAAATCTCTCTGGCGCTGAACTTCCTCCACTGCAAAGGGATCATCTATCGCGACCTGAAGCTGGACAACGTGCTGCTGGACCACGAGGGTCACATCAAGCTGACGGATTACGGCATGTGCAAGGAGGGCATCCGGCAAGGGGATACCACGTCCACGTTTTGTGGCACTCCCAACTACATCGCTCCGGAGATCCTCAGGGGGGAGGATTATGGGTTCTCTGTAGATTGGTGGGCCCTTGGTAAGTGTTTTTGATAATAAGCGTTCGGCATTTAACGTTTTATATAAAACAGGCAAGGTATTTTTACACAAATGAAGAAGGAAATTAAAGATAAAGGATTATACTATATCCGTGTTGCAGCACTTTTTTAGACAACTTCTTTATTTTTAAGATTTTGATGGTCAAACATCAACAAAATATTCCTTATGTTTAGACTAAATTTTCTTGAAAATTTCACACCTCTACTTTTCAACCAATAACATGCTTTAATGTTGACTAGTTACCATGGCAACTGAAAAAAATTCCGGAAATTTTTTCGAGGCGCCAGATTGTGATGGATTTTTGAGATGAATCTTAATTTAAAAGTGACAAACAATATATCATTTTTTAAAGATTTTTACGTTTTATTTTTAATTTAATAACTAATATTTTAGTAATTAATTGATTTATTTGTTTTATAGCCTATTTTACTTATTACATATTGACAAAACCTAGTCCATTATGAAGATTATTGTAAGCGTTATTATAAGTTATTTATTTATTTATTGATGTACATCTTACAACGCCATAAGTGGTAATAACAAGTAAGAGGGTGCTATTAATGCACAAACTAATAATCACAGAATTTAATAAAAACTAACACAGAAATCACTTTGAAAGTAGTGTACCCAAGTAGCATTTTCACGACTTGCGACCACATGTTTACTAAACACAACGTTGGATTAGTTACAAAAAATAGTTAGCTCTCTACCTTGGGTATTAAAATAAATTTAAACGTTTTTATAACGTTGTGCCGACGTTGGACTAATACTACAGCAAAGTAGAAGCTTCTGCGACGTCGAATAAACGTTGTCTTGTAACCTTTTTTGCTTAAGTGATCTTTAGGTGATTCGGACAACGTAGTTACAACGTTGGACAATATAGAGTTTTCCGAGTCAGTTTCAGGACCTATTCCAACGTTATGCAAACGTCGTCTGTTTTACTAATTCCAACGTTGTTTAGATTTCCTTATTCTTACGTTGGTAGGACGTAGAGTCACTACCTTTTTGCAACTGTATTGAACCATAACCTTAAATCTTAAATTTTCAATTCATTGTTCTGTTCAGTCAGACAGTTCAGTGCTGTTTTTGTTTTTATAAAAAAAAAACTTAATTAAAATGGGACATAAGAAAGGTACATATAAAACTAAATTTAAATATACATCGACATATATTACCGACACTTCCTCGTTTATTTAGATTATAGAGGGCGGCACAAGCTAGACTCTAGAATGACTAAATTAGGCAATCTTGCGACTAGTATACTACCTGTTAAGGCCGAACTGCGACTTTATTAGTCCAGTATGCGACTACTCGAACTACTCCATCTTAATCTCCAAAACAACAAAGTTAAAGCCGCCATGTTGTTAAATAAGAAAATGTTTCGTTCTTAAAATAGCAATTCCTGCTTTTTGAATACATTAACTTGAAATATTTGACCCTAAAAAATACGCGGAAACAATTTTTTCGAATGCGAATAAATTATTCTCATTTTACTAAAAAAAAAATTCAAGAAAATTTTTAAAACTTCTTTAATTTCAAGGCCCATTAGTATTTTTTAAAGTAGAAACAATACATTTATCAATAAAGTTGTTTGCGTTTAACTTTTTACCTTGGGTAACGAGTTACAGAGTCGGTTAAAGTGTTTCAATAATTATGATCTTCAAACATCCTCCACACTTAAATACTTTTGTTTTGTTTTCCTTCACTGCCATCTGACATATGTCTCTAACTAAATTATAAATATAATATTTTTACTATAATTATCCCAATTTAGGATAAAACGCGACTTAGACGCCATATTAGTTTTGTATTTCTGTGAATTAGGATTTTAAACAACGTTGCAGTTTGTACTAAATTAGGCTTCTAGCCAACGTCGGTATCCAACGTCGTTTCGACCCAAAAATTATTCTCCAAACTAGTGCAGACTAGGGTTGGCACGAGGTTGTGCCGACGTTGCGCCCCGACGTTTGGTCGCGTGACACAACGTTGTCCCGACGTCCAAATGCTGCTTGGGAGGCAAGGTATTTTTACACAAATGAAGAAGGAAATTAAAGATAAAGGATTATACTATATCCGTGTTGCAGCACTTTTTTAGACAACTTCTTTATTTTTAAGATTTTGATGGTCAAACATCAACAAAATATTCCTTATGTTTAGACTAAATTTTCTTGAAAATAAAGACATATGATAATCGCAAAATAATTTCCGATGCACGTGATCAACTTTGAGTGAAAAGCGATGGCGACAGCGCTGCCAGATTGTGATGGATTTATGAGATGAATCTTAATTTAAAAGTGACAAACAATATATCATTGTTTAAAGATTTTGACGTTTTATTTTTAATTTAATAACTAATATTTTAGTAATTAATTGATTTATTTGTTTTATAGCCTATTTTACTTATTACATATTGACAAAACCTAGTCCATTATGAAGATTATTGTAAGCGTTATTATAAGTTATTTATTTATTTATTGATGTACATCTTACAACGCCATAAGTGGTAATAACAAGTAAGAGAGTGCTATTAATGCACAAACTAATAATCACAGAATTTAATAAAAACTAACACAGAAATAACTTTGAAAGTAGCGTAATGTGCTTATCAATCAAACTTATTTCTCTGACTGCAGTCAAGGGTCATAAAGGACCTTTATTGTCACATTCTTGTTTATAAGAGAAGCTACAAGCTCTTTGCTTCGACTGTTTAAACGCTTCGGCATATTTTCAACACACAATTTCAAGAAATGCAATACAAAAACTCGAAAAATTAGTTCTTAAAAGAACTGTTTGTGCTTAAAAGTACAATTTTTAAGAAAAGACTATGAAAATAGACAAAAAACGGGAATTACAAAGATTCAGCAACAACAGGATATTATACAAAATAATGACTGAAATTAGGATAATTGTCGAATAATAAATGACAACCTTGCTGAAAACGGCGCAATGTGACCAACATAGCGATAATAAAATTCGGTTTAAACTGATTTTTGCAGCTTTAATCTAAATAAAATATCTCTCACAATCGTTTGCTCTATAAAGTAAAATAAAGAGCTGCTCGGTATCTTAAATTATACAACAAATTTAAAAAATTTTGCCAACATTTCATTTAGTCAGGTTTTTAGACTTTAGTGTCAATGTCGATATGATTGATGACGTGCATCGGAAAATGTTTTGCGATTACATTAATTTAAAATTCCGTTACAATATGGAAATGGATTGAAGTTTTGTGTAGCCATCTAACTAAAATATCTTTACATACAGTTCATACCAAATAAACTTTTAGTCACGTGATTAAGCTTGACCAGCACAGCGTTGCCTATTTTACATACTTTCTTTTAATCAAAATATTTTAGGAAGCAAAAATAAATTAATTATAAATATATAAACAGATATTATTTACATCAACAAAACTCACCTTCTTAACAGCACTTAAGGGATATAAAGAGCCATTACTACCGCTTTCCCCTTCAAAATATTCTAATAAAGTTGCGATGAGTTTTTACGGCTATTAAGCTATCTTGTACCACTTCGCACTAAAGAGGTTCTAAAAAACAATGTTCAATTTAAAGGTCTGCTAATAAAATTTATTAAGCTTAAAGTATCACAATATCGTTCATTTAAACCAAAAACTCGTAATACAAAACTAATGTCTCAAAACGAATGACATTGTCAGGAAATAAATAGATAAATGTGGCAACTTTTTTTACAGTAGAACTACCACCTGAATCCCCAGCGGGAAATTTAAATTCTAGTTAGTCAGCCTGGCACCGAATATGTCCATTGTTGACAACAATAAATTTTAAAATTGCGCCCTTGATTACGTAACTAAAAGTTTAATTGGTATCGAGAATATAGGTATTTATATTTAAAATAAGCAAATTAGTAGCAAAGTAAAGTACACTTCGAAATATGGTTAACTTAAACATTCACAACTATATCCAAATTAGATTCTAAAAAACGTTTAACGAACTTGTAGTGTTGAACTTGTGAAAGAACCCTGTATATTTTGGTCTTTTTATTTAGAAACATTAACTTCCAGATATACAGAACGAGTCTTAAATAAGTGCAAATACTTTTAGAGGTTTGAGGTATATTTCGACCCCAGAAACACGATTATTAGTTTTTTTTCACGAAATTTTTTTTAAATTTGTAATTTTTTGAAAAAAAAATCTTTAGTTTCAAAAAAAAGTTATTTTAGTTTTTAGTTAAAAACATAATTTCTTGATAATATGGTAGTAGATTAAATTCGATTAGGTCCAGTGGTTTTTATTTTTTTTTTTGAAATTTTCAAAGTAAAATAATTCGGTTATTTTGGGGTTGTTTGAAAAATCGTAAAGAGAAAATATGTTCCATTTCTCAAGATCTACCAGCCCTGAAAATGTTTGCACTTGTTTAAGACTCACCCTGTATATTATAAAACTAATTATTTTATTTTAAAAAAATAGTTATGAAATTGGAAAATATTGTTGTTATTTTTCAGGCGTATTATTATATGAAATGCTAGCTGGAAGATCTCCCTTTGATATCGCAGGAGCTTCAGAAAATCCGGATCAGAACACTGAAGATTTTCTGTTCCAGGTTATTTTGGAGAAAACCATTCGCATACCGAGGTAACAAAACAACTAATCTTATTTCTATTTTTAAAGAAATAAACTATGTTCAAGTTGATTTAACTGGACTATTTTTCTTCTGCTGCTGTAGATCTTTAAGTGTCAAAGCCGCAAACGTCCTAAAAGGATTTCTTAATAAGAATCCAGCAGATCGACTGGGGTGTCAAGGTCTGGACAGCTACAGTGACATTACTAATCATCAGTTCTTCAAAACTATCGACTGGGAATTGGTAATTTATGATTTTCCTATTTAATAGTCATTAAATACGTAATAAATTTATCATTTAACAGCTGGAGCGTAAGCAGATTCCTCCACCTTACAAACCTCGTCTGGATTCTGACAGAGATTTGACAAATTTTCCACCAGAATTCACAGACGAACCAGTTCATCTAACACCAGATGATCCGTAAGTATTTTATTTTCCTTGAAATTTTACAGTAAACATACATATACAGGGTGTCCCAGGTTGAGCGTGCATTAGAAGTTTCTAGGGAACTACAATGTCTAGATCGGAGATTTTTTGCACATCATTGTCTCACAATGAGATCTATCGATTAAAAATATTTTCAATATGGCGGCACTTCCGGAAATATCGGAAGTTGACATTAACTTTCTTATTCTAAATGGGTACCTTCATTTTTTATTATAATCTACGTAAAATTTTATGAATTTTGGCATTAAATACTTTATACCTAACATACCGTTTTTGAAAAAAAAAATATTTATAATTTTTGAAAGAAAAAAACTACTTGTCAAAAAATGTGTATAACCTAACTGTAACATAAAGAGAAAGTTTGTCGCGAGTCGGACACTAGTCCTATTCTGGTTTTATCACTAAATATGACAAAATTCCAATTAGGTCCATTTGCTCTCATCTCCTCAGCCCATTGTAGTCGCATAATTTTGTGCTATAAATTAAGCTTCGGAACGTAGAGGCCTCCTTAAATGTAATCCTCTGTCATAAAGTCTTCTTGCTATGGTCTTTCTTGAAACATTTACTCCTTCAAGGTGGGCTGACTCATTTTTAATAGCAGTACTAGAAAGCAGGGGATTGAGTCGTGCTATTAGGGATATTTGACGGTCTTGCACAGCAGTAGTAACTCTCTTTCTACCTCTTCCAGGCCGGTCTGTAACTTCGTTTGTCTCCCTGAATTTTTTTAATATTTGCGAAACATCGCTTTGGTTAACTCCTACAACTTGCCGGTAGCCCTGTTAAGACAGTGTTACTATTCTAACTCTACTAAACTGTGAAATAATGTTTCTAGGCATTTTAAGGCCAAAACAATGGTCAAATTTCTTCTGAAACCCAAGAGACCACAAATAGAAATGTGCAAGAATTTGTAATAATATTGGGTCTGAACGATAAACATTGTTTACCATATCCATTTTAACAAAAAAATGTTTATTACAGATTATCAAAGCTATGTATAAAAAAAGATTCTTTAAATTCCTTTCCGTATATTTTTAAACGATATATGCAATAATTTTGGCCATGTGTGTATATACAGATAATAATTGTGTTATTTTTTTTCAGCCGCATCATAGAAAAGATCGACCAATCCGAGTTCGAAGGCTTCGAATACGTCAACCCCCTGCTCATGTCGCTAGAGGACTGCGTGTGACACAACGTGACCTGCGCGCTGCATCCCAACAACTTACCCCCTCCACCCGTTCACCGGTACCCCCCGCCTATCTTGCCCCCGCCCCCACCTCCGGATCTGAGCGGCTACGGCAGGGAGAACTACTTCCCGGTGGATGACGTGCGTCCTCAGGGTGGTAAATCAGTGCTGCAGAATATATTTTGCCTTCCTCTAAACTGAAACGCTTAGGAATCGAATGCTGCCCACAGATTAATACGGTGTTGGCAACAAAGTCTGCATGTAATAGGATTTTTATTTATTATTAGAGACAAATTAAATTACATTAGGTACTTATAATGCTTGAAATAATTGTATAGTTTTTCCGAAGTCAATTGCAACAGATTCAAACTCTTAATTTTGGCACTGTCGGCATAAGCTGGATAAACGAATTAAGGGTCTTAGTATTTCCAATTGACTTTGGATATACTATATCATAATTGTTGTGTGTCTTGGTATATTGGGCAAATTTTACATTGCTTTTTAATAATGTCTAAAAATGTTCTTATTTATTAAAAGTTTTGTAAATGTTGTTTGAGAAAGATATTTAAGTTTCGCATTTTTTTATCTACACGTGAAATTTTGCTCTACAATAATTTCTATTTTTGTCAATATTTCGAATATTTTGATCAATTTATGTGTACTGATTGATACCTGATATATTATCACGTATTTTCGCAAATATTTTGACTACAACAATTTATTTTGCTTTGAAGCCTGAAATTCTTAAACACAGATAGGCATTTTTTGGTGCAAAGTTTGTTATTTATAACAGCTTTACAAAAACTACATACTTCTATTATTCTTAAGTGTGCATATGTGGTCTTAAGTCATATGCACTTGAAGTAAAATAAGTTATTGTTATAAAATTTGGCGCCCAACGTGAGGCGCATCAATTTATAACAATGACCTACGTTGGGCGCCAAATCTTATAAAAACAGCTACACACTCAGGAATAAACTTTGTATCAAATAGAGCATATTTGTGACTAAAAATATTAGGTATTAAATCAAAATAACTAGTTGTAGTCAAAATAATTATTCAAATTTCAAAATAAAATATTCAAAATATTGACGTAGAATTGAAGTTGTGGTTTAGTAAACAACTTTTTCAAACAAAATCTAAGAGAATTTTTAAAATAAAGATATTTTTTGACATACGTAATTCAGAAATGACAAATTTCACAGAAAAACTAAATTAAATATCTATAAAGGTATACATAAGTTTTATTTCTAAGATAAGCAAGGCCTTACAGCTTTGCCTAATTATACCTGTCTCTAATAGTAAAAGAATCATTTGGTGTAGACTTTTTTGCGACCACAGTGTATATGAGACAATAGAGTAGTCAAGAGTTACATTTGGTCAGTTTTCTACAAAATTTGTTCTTATAGGAACTACTCAGGAGTAAATACATGCCCATAGGCTTCAGTTTCTGTAAACTGTCGAGATATCATCGTCTCATCGAGTTCATAGACCTGATTTCTAATTATCTATCATCAACTTTTTTTTTCTGTTCTGTGTGATATTATATATTTTCATTTTTGATTGTGATTCTGAAGACTTAATTAATTTAAGAATAATGTAATTCTTGTTGTCATGCACGTAACCAATTATAAAAGTTTTTATGAAGGTTTAGTTCACAACTTTATTGTCACACGCACGATACACATGATGATACTTGTTTGTGGGCAGCTTAAGGTGAAAAAGTTGTACTTTGGGCTGGTTAAAACTGGTTCTATATGCTACGTTTGGCCTAGATTAGATAAATTCTTGTTTAAGCGAGTGTTTGGAATGCTGCTTGTTAAGAAAAATGCAATGTAGGTTATAACCTTTGATTTGACAACAGATAGTTACATAAATCTACCAATTTTGATGTATTAAAATACGGTTAACAAAATCTTATAAGTTTATTTATTAGTGTTATCCCTAGTTACCTTTTTAGTCACAACATTTCAATAAAAAAAAAACTGCAATATTAATCTTTGAAAGATGTCTACCAGAAAAAATAATTACAATTATGCAGTTATTACTTTATATTCTATACATATACTAGATATACTTATTTTTTAATTCATTATAATTTATTGAAACAAAATGCGTCTCATACTTGCATATATTATGTATATTTATTTATTTTTTAGTGTGTGGTCGATTAAAAACTACATTACAATACAAATGCTTAAATTACAACTAATTTCGAACTTTATTGTGTCTATGGCCGATGTTCATGACATTAACAGTGTTGTTTACTTGCTTGAAAAAAAAGTTCTTGTCATACTCAAAATTTCAATCAAAACAGATTTAATCCTTATAGATTTTAACTTAAAGTATAACAATTAACAGTTTTTAGATTTTAAACAAAAAAAATATGCTACTTAAATTAAAATATTACTGTTATATTTACAAGAAAATATATGTTTTCTTCTGATTTCATATTTTAAAAACAAATTTCTAACGTTAACACAATCTGTATACTTTTTCTGTTGTTATATTAGCTGAAGAAGTATTCCAAACACTCACTATTAAAATTGTTCCATAGTCTAACATTGCGTTACACGTTGCTTAGGTAAAACTTAAAACAATAACTATGACTGGTACATGTTATATACGGGGTGGTGTATAATATTTGATAATCTTCATTTCATTAAACCTTCTTTTTGACAAAGAAAGTGTTTTGGAATTTATGTTTTACAATCGCCCTGTATAAACACGTCTATGCGTTTCCTTATAAAGGCAATTTAGTACTAATGTATTGTTCGATCTTCCAGCAAGAACTATCATGATGAAACTATTCTATTTCTAATTCTCTCTATATATTTGTATAAGGAATATGAGAACACTTGTAAAAGACTTGACATTTACATATTTACGCACGTTCAACATAGAAAAGTCACATAGGACAGTATTTTTTATTATGGATCTTTATAAAAACAGTCTTTTTTTAGACTTTAAAATACTTCAAAAAAGTGATCCATCCTTATAAGTATAAATAAATAAATTAAAAGAGCATACATTTACATGACAAACTAAGTAACACCTTTTTATAAACATTCATAGTAAACAATACTGTTAAAAGGAAAAAAATATAGACAAACTTAAGATACGTTGAAATATTTACATTGCAAATGACATATTTCTAAATTATATATAAATATTGTATAAGAAAATATTTGCTTTATATTTTAGGAAATCGTTACTTTTGGTATTTAAATATTAGGCTTTTTTACTATTATTATACTTACTATTTATTTAGGATTAAATCGAAAGTGTTTTCATTTATTTTTTATTTAACGGTAAGAATAATTTAGTCATAATTTGTTATTTTTTTTTTCATAAATAAAATAAAACAAAATAAAAAAAAAAATCGGTTGTCAACTCCTGAAGGACACGATAACTACTAGGCCGGTCCTGGCAAATTTCTACATTATTTTTTTTAAATAATTATACTCTAAAAGCAACAATTCGTTATTGAATTTATAATGTGAATTTCTCTTAAAAAAATATTGTTTTAAGCTATAATAAGATATTATTGAAGCACCTTGTACACTTGTGTGCTATTCAGTATTATTTTAATAAGGAAAATCTGTAAAAAAGATATTATATTATTAAATAAAACGTATCTAGTCCTATTCGAGTTGCTAATTTGCATATCTTTTTATTGGAAATGAACATAATATATTATTTAGTTGTTAAAAAAAATGTTTTAATATATTATTTTCCTGTATTTAACACTAATAGGTAATTAAATAATTGTTGTGACTCAAAAATTACTTTCTTTAACATCCTGACTTGTGCTTATTTATATAAACCCTGTATATTAAAAACCTATATTTATAACGTTGAATGCAACCAGATATTCTCTTTTTAAAAGATTTTATGGTGCTGTGGTGCTGTCAAATTGCAAGATTATTATAGGTTATGTTTATTTTTATTTGAGTGATCTTTGTGCTCTTTTGTAGTTTATTACAAGTCTTTAAAGTGTTATATAGAGTAAATATACTTATTAACGATGCCTGCAACGGCGCCTCCAGGACCAAGCACCGAAGCTCCACCGAAAAAACGAGTCAAAGATACGAAAAACTGCGGTTTATTGAAATGCTTTTCTGCCTTAGTAGATAGAAAACAAGTCAATTTAGAATTAGATGTTTTAATATTAATGCTTAAGAAGGAATTACACATTAAAGTAGACAGTCTCGACCCCCAACTATCCGCTATTTTACCGTACATTTTGGTGTTTTATATAAAGAACTGGCCAGGATGGCAGAGAAGTGTTGAATACTATTCAGGAAAAATGGCTTTTAAAGTTTGGTACGAAAAGTTCTATAAGTTTATTACAATAAAATTGAACGAAACGATCAATATTCATTATAAAGAAGCTAAAGAGGGGATAGACAAGACGAAATCTGAAGAAGTGAAGAAAAATTACTTACTGAAAAAAATAACTTGTAAAAATACGCAGACCGATTATTCAGCACCGAAAGTTTTGTCACCTTTTTCGATTAAAATAACAGCGAAACCGGTTTTGTTGAACACGTTGGTTTTTACTGATAATCAAGCAGGTTTGATATAGATTTTTAGTGAAATTTATAAACTATTTCGAACATATTTTAGGGGACATTGTTTTAAAACAACATAGCATATTGGAGTGGGATAAGAATGTAGTTGATAGCATTACCTTACAACAGATAATAACATGGCCTCATGTGGGAGTACATATGTATTCACCAGTGTTAGCCTTCTCGAGAAGAAACCTGCATGAGTTCACGAGACATATCAGTTTTGTTGGTACATCTTTACCGACAACTTACAGCTCATTTATAGAAGAAATCAAGATTATTAATCAAGGAGTGCCAAGGACTTGTTATACGGTTGATTACTTGAAGGCTTTGTCCAAAGAATTTATGGATGCTATTGGACATATTTATGTAAGATTTTTAAAATGTCTTTTTGAAACAAACAGTTGCTAAAATAATTTTTTTTTAGAAAAAACCTGCTGTGAAAGAAGCTTTTCAAACAGTTATCGATGAACTGTTGGCTGATGTGGCCGAAATAAATGTTCTTAAAGGGAATAAGGCAACAATTGCTTCAAACACTTCTGTCCTATTTAATATTGGTAGGAATACATATTTCAGGAATAAAAAGTTATCTAGAGGGTAAGTCATAGTATTAAAAATTTTTTTATTTCTTTGAAGTGAAACTTTTTTACACGTAGTTGGTTACGTTACGTTAGTTGGTAGTAAAAATTCAGGGTCATAACATGAGCTAGCATCAGGAAAAGTGATAACGGCAGTGTTGCCACAGCTACCCCATTCGCGGTAGATCTCTACCCCATTGTAAAAGAATTTAACTCGTTCTGGGTAACAATAGGTTTAAAAAATTTTCTCTTAAATAAATTTAAGCATTAACATTATTAAGGTGCTTCCAGGCCCTGCGCACTCTCCGCGAAACGTCAAACCACGAAATTAGTAGACTTCAAGACACCGTGCGCTAGTGTCGCCTGGCGGGAGAAAGCGACAGCCAATAAGAATTTTTCTGTTTTTTGATTGGTACCTGCTCAAAAGTGGGGCGACCGGCTGAATTTTAAAATTCTTCAGTTTATCCCCGTCGTCATTTGGGCTTGTTCGTGGTTCGATCTAAATTTTTGTAATTGTTACGAAGTGTTATTTTGTGGACTTTTTAAAAATGGTGTTATATTGCTGTGTGTTGGGCTGTAAATCCTCTAGTAGATTGTCGATTTTGCATAGTATGCCAATGGATAAAGAAGTAAGTGTACTTATGTTTTTGTTTTTGACCCGTTTAAAAATTCGTATATGTAGTATTTTTTTAGGGTTATGCAAGTCCAGGAGTTAACAGATCCTCTAAAAAAACTTGCATTTGAAGTATTTTAAAAAAATAAAGTAAAACATAAAGCCTTAAATAAAATTAAACAAGTCCCTTTATAAAGTTTAATTTTATATTGCTTTTGTTGATAAATATTGTTTATATTATAATGTAAAATGTCTGTATAATGTGTATGCCTATAACGTAAGGTACTAATCTATATAACGAATTATTTTTTATTCAAATGTTGAATGGATAATATTATAGTATTATTTGATGATTGTTAATAAAATTTTTGTGTTTCATATTGGTTTTTGTATTATTGTTCCGTATCTTATTAGAAATATTATATACATATTGCTTTTTTTCTAAACGTGAAAGAATTAATACTGTCTTTTTTTTAGTTTTCTGTAAAATAGAAGTTATATTTTACATCTTAATTAACATTTTAATCTTGTTAGTAAATTAAATACACATGGGTCCGCCAACGATAAAGCTCATTATTTTATTTGTTTTGAGATTTATTAAAAAAATAGAAAAATTATAGAGAAGGTTAAGATACACATTTTAAAATTGTTATAGAGTATACAGGGTGGTTCAAAATAGTGTGACGGATATAACACATGGTTTTTTAAATTTAGTACCCTATTTTTTATTTTTAGATTCTGCGTCAAATTTTATGACTTTTTTATGTATAATGTTAGATACCTAAAACTAATAGTTTTTGTAATGCGTATTTCATTTTGTTTAAACAAAGGTTTTTTTAATTACAGTATTGTTAAAAATTGTCAGTCATGTTTCTGAAGTTGTAAACATATCTGAGTTAGATGCTACAGGGTGTTTAACATATATTTATGAATTTTGACTATTTAAAATTAAATATGTAATCTCGAATTTTTTAAATGGTACATCGTATGTATTATTATTTTTTCTTCTGATAGAATTGATATCAGAATTTGCGTCACTGATAATTTTTACCATACTGAAGTCTAATATTTCTTTAAACAAATTGAATTATTAAGATATATAATATATTATGCAAAAGAGTTACCGAATTGTACGTAAAATCTAAAAATAAAATAAAAAATAGGGTATTCCCATTAAAGAATATGTTATATCCATAATACTTTTTAGAAGTACCCTGTATACTCTACATTAATTTTAAAATGTGCTTCTTAACCTTCCCTATAACTTTTCTATTTAACATTTTGTTCTAAAAAACGTTACAAAACATATTTTGTAAAAGACGTCGTATCGCGAAACAAATGAAGAGTAAAGGGGGAAAACAACCAAAAGGGAAAAAAAACGATGATGAATAAAATACGACGAACCAAATACCATATAAAAGACACAAAAAATTATTATTGTATGCGTTAGTATTTGGCCATCGTTTGTTATATTCAATTACAATTTAATGTGTTTGGGTTCTTTTTACTATGATCTAATTCGCTTGTCTAGTGGCAGGCTTGCGTCAAAAAATTGATAGAAAATGTCTCGCTCTCGTCTCGCGCTTGCCTTGCTCTCGTCTCCCCAAGTAGCATTTGGACGTTATCTAATGTCGGGTATACGTCGCGTTCAATAAACCCGACGTCGGGTACCAACGTCGGTTCGACCGCCTGACGACCCTTATTTGCACCTAAATGGGGAATACAGATTCGGGTCGCCTCGACGTCGGTATCTGACCTAATAGGGAATGTAATTCTACCAATTATCAACGTCATATTACGTTGGATTTTAGTCACTTAAAATTCGTCGCTAAGCACTGACGTTACGTTTGGTTTCATATTCGCTACCAAGAATACATAAAAACCTAACCAAACTACATAATTACAAATTGATTCATAATCACTCCTCGAATGGAACTATAAGTGCCTACCTAATTTCATATTATAATAATTCTGAATCATTAATCCAGACATCAGTTTTGTCAACGGAAGTCACTTTTTTGATATATCTGATTAAAATACTCCGGAAAACAACGAGCGCCTTCAAAAGTAGGTAATGAGTAGGATTTATGAAATAAAAATATCTATAAAAAAGTAACTTGCAAAATATATTTTTTATTTTCTAGCTGGTTTAATCATAAAATTGTACTGTGGTTCCCCCCAAACTCAACCTTCTCAATATTATTCTACTAGAAATCGGAATGTGAATATAAATTTTAAAAACAAAAAATGATTTTAAAATGGCTGACAATCGGATACCTGTTAAGAATGGCGGATTTCTGTGTCCGACTTAATATGAACTACCAATATACCAATTCCGACCGGGTCTCCAACATTAGTCGTCTCACACGACCGAAGTCATCAAACCGGACGACCGGCAATCGTATTATGACGTATATAATTCCAACATACGCCACGTAACCTCACTTTGCGTATCAGTGATTTGTGGATTTGTGCAACTATATTTTAGTTTTTGTTTTCTCTTTAAAACAATGGGCAGCCACTTTTTTAAGATAGTATATACAAAATTTAAAAGAATTGGAACCAGTACCTCACATGTGGGGTCTGCTAGTTTCCTAAGCTAAAAAATGAAATTAAGGTGCACCAGTGTAATGCAGGATCTCTTCCGGATAAAATGCATTCGTGGGTGGAGGGAAGACATCACTACTACTATTATTATTTTGCAAAAGCCTCGACCTCTTTCTGTAAAATGTAGATGAATGTCTAAATAGAGATATTACAGAAGAAGAATACAGATACAGATACAATACAGATATAGAGAATGACGTAAATAGAGATACGTAAATTAGGTTAAATATATGAACATAAAATACAACAAAATATAATTGGACGTTACTTTAGGGATTATCAGTGAGACGTATCCTATTCGGACAACGGGTAGACGTCGGGCTAGTTCAAGTATAGGTACGTCGTGCAAGCCAACGTTGGAACGACGTTGGGAAATTAATAAAAATGGTACGTTGTTATTTTGTACGTCGACATATCGTTGGATTTACCGACTCGGATCCAACGACGTCGCTTTTAATAGGAAAGCGACGTCACCAGTCGTATCACCAGCACCCGACCTAAAGTTGCACAAAGTCTGACGTCGCTTCAGGTTAGATTTAGTTCGAAGTCAGATAGATGCTACTTGGGTCGCGCTCGACTCATCAGGTCTGGACGCACCTGCATAAAAGTGTGTATTTTGGGTGGTATTCCACAAAATTTGTAGGTTATTGACGAAACAGAAAATGTACATATTACAGAAATAAATTGAAAATAATATTTATATTAAAACAGCGTAATATTATGTCACTTTTTCAAACATGTCCTTTAAATCCTTCAATTTAATAGCTGTTAGTAAGAAGTTTTACACCAAATATGCCCACTATGTTGGGTCAAAAAAATCGACTATTTTTTTACTTTATCTGAAAAAAAGATTGGTAATCTAAAAAAAATCTCTCCTAGTATAACCTCTTAATTTTAATAGGAATAGAGCCTTTTAGTTCTCTATTTTTCCTTATTATTAGAAAGATAAATATGAATTTTTCTTTCTAATAATAAGGCAAAAATAGAGAACTGAAAGGCTTGGAGAGAATTTCTGTGAGATGTCTACCAACCTTTTTTTCAGAGTATAAAGTGAAAAAAAAATAGTCGACTTTTTTGACCCACCCTAATGCGCACATAGTGCACACACTTTTTTTTTTATTAAAATATCCTCAAAAGCGCCTCACAGAAATCACGACCCGAAACTTTTTTAGAACTCCGTCAAGAGACGACATCAGTTTCACCGAAGTAATCATGCCCAAGATGGAGACCAGCCTGGTTAACGTGTCCCAAATCGATACTTTCCGAGAATATATCGAAAAATTAAAGAAATTCGACGGCCCGAAGCCCAACTTGCCCGACCATCACTTGCCGTCCATCACTTTTAGCTGCAGTTACTGCAAGGAGAATTTCGAACACGGCGGCGCTCTGGCCAAACATCTCAAAGAGGAACACAAGATGGAGCAGGCCGTTTTGTGTACGACCTGTAAAGAGTCCTATCCTGTGTTTCAACTGACTCGCAATAGATGGGGCCACAAATGTAGAGCTAAAAATTAGGCACTCACAAAGGGAAGGTGAGGTGATCATATTAAAATTTGATATGGAGATTTTTGGGAACACTGAACTGGGGTTACTCTGTATATGATCATATCAAATATTTTTTTAGTCACGTGATTAAGCTTAAACGGCACAGCGTTGCCCACTTTTGGATATTTTCTTGTAATCAAAATATTTCAAAATATTTTAATAAACAAAAATAAATTAATTATAAATACCGGGTGTTGCATCGTCGGACGGGACATAGGAAATCCCATGTAAATTTTAATGGGGTCAATTATTGGCTTCCCTAATTATTTTAGAGAATAATTCTATTTAGGTTTATTGAAGAGCACTAAACCCCACATTCAAAAGAATAACTTTAGATATTTTTGATTAGCTCGTTAACGAGTTATCGCCGATTTCTTTTTAAATAAGTCTTTTTTCTTATGGCCCTGTACTTACTTATGAGCACCAGTCAAGGTAAAAGATAACTGTCAAATGAAATTGTCATTTCAGAAATTTACCTATTTAGTGCTTTATTATTATTGAAAACTCATTCCTACATCGGAAATCTTAAAGATGTATTTATAAATACAAATTAATATGAATTAAAGTAAAATAAAGTAATCAATTACAAGGGTGCTATAAATAATAGCTTCATAATCTTCAGTAATTTTGGATTTTTTTTATTAGAACCATTTTCCCCTATCTGCTAAAAAGTAAAGTGGTGGGGGAAGGTTAGATCTCTTTATTTAAATGTTAATAACTCCGGACTGGACGACCAGAATCCAACAAACGAGGGCTCGTTTCAAAGAGAGCGCTTACTCTATATTATACCATAAAAATAATAATAATAATAAGATTTTGAACGTAGACGCTAGGGCGCTTTCTTTACAATTTAAAAAACATAACGTGTTTTTTTTCAAAAACATTAAATACAATAGTATGTTTTATTTTAGCTGATAGTAAAGTAGTTTTTCAAACCAAAGATATTACCAAAATTATAATAAATACCAAATAAGCCCTTAATTGCCTTATTTTTACAATACAGTATCAGTAGCCGTCTTGATTAGGCCCATTCTAACAAAAAAATAAGATAAAAACAGTTAATTTTAAAATCGACGAAATACCAGAATACCATAATACCGGATGTATTAATATCTAATAATTAAGATATTAATAAACGATGATTCAGTGAAGTCATGGTAGGCTTTGGAAAAAAGTTGCTTTTCGCATAATAGTATAAACGTCAAATTGTTATTAGATCAACATTTTGATATTCTTAGCAGCGTTTTTTTATCTTTTAAATGCTTTTTCAAAATGCCTTTATTATTTGAAGTAGTTGAAGTTGTTGGCATTTTGAAAAAGCAATCAAAAGATAAAAAAATGCTGCTAAGACTATCAAAATGTTGATCTAATAACAATTTGACGTTTATACTATTACGTCAAAAGCAACTTTTTTCCAAAGCCTTCCATGACTTCACTGAATCATCGTTTCTTGTTCACTATTATTAATATCTTAATTATTAGATATTAATACATTTGGTATTATGATATTCTGGTATATCGTCGATTTTAAAATAAACTAACTGTTTCTATTTTATTTTTAGGTTAGAATGGGCATAATCAAGAGGGCTACTGATACCGTGTTGTAAAAATAAGGTAATTAAGGGGCATATTTTTTGGTATTTATTATAATTTTGCTAATATCTTCGGTTTGAAAGAAGATATCAAGATGCGGTTTTCGCTGACTTTTTAAGCTTTTACCCTTTACTATCAGCTAAAATTACATATACTATTGCATTTAATTTTTTTGAAAAAACGCGCAATGTTTGTTAAATTGTAAGACAACGCCTTCTAGCGTCTACGTTCAAAAGCTTATTTTTATTGTTTATATGGTACAATATAGAGTAAGACACGCTCTTTTAAACGAGCCCTTGCTTGTTGGATTCCGATCATCCAGTCCAGAGTTACTAATATTCAAATAAAAACAGATCTAACCTTCCCCCACCACTTTATTTTGGTAGATAGGGGAAAATGGCTCTAACAAAAAATATTCAAAATTTACTGAAGATTATGGAGCTTGTTATTTTTTTACTGTTAGTACACTTTATCAAGGCAAAATTATGTAAAAACTCCATTTTCTTATTTTTTGTTGCAGTTGCGCCCCCTAGCGGTCGTTCTACAAACTTGAAAATAATTTGCAGCAATTTCCCATAGCCTCTTTAGTGATAAATATTTTTTTCTGCAGCCGCTACGGCTAATACTTTCCGAGGTACAGCCGAAAGCTATTCTTAGTGGGACACCCTGTACAGGGTGAGTCAACGATAGAGTAAAGTCCATTATCTCATTTGTTTCAAGGTTTACAAAAAAATGTTTAATATAAAAGTTATAGGGATGGTTAAGATACACATTTTAAAATTATTATAGAGTATACAAGGTGCTTCAAAAAAGTGTGGCGGCTATAACATATGTTTTTTTTTAATGCAATACCCTATTTTTTATTTTATTTTTAGATTCTGCATAAAACTTTTTTCTATATATTATTATATACCTAAAATTATTAGTTTTTGTAATATTTCAATTTAATTAAACAAATGTTAAATTGCAGTGTGGTAAAAAATTGTCAGTGGTGCCATTGTTTTTGAAGTTGGAGTGCCAAAATTTGGTAGGAGAGTTTTATAGAGATGAAAAAAAAGATATATGTAAAGATATTTTAGTTAAATGATACAGGGTGTTCAAAATATATTTATGAATTTCAACTACTTAAAATTAAAAAATCCCCTATATATTATCATTTTTTCTGATAGATTTGACAAAACTCTTCAACTTTTATTAAGTATGTCATATCCCTATTTTTAATAGTTTGCAATTTATTCCCATTTTTTCTATTTTTACCCATATTTTTAATACAATTACCCTATAAAATCATAGTTGCCATGACAAAACAAAACTATTTATTACTTACCTTTAACAAGTAGCTTCATAATTAGTTACAATTGCTGGTATTAGTTAAAATGAATTAACTTTACTCAAATAAACTAAATCGCAGTAGTGAATTTCTTGGTGTATTTCTATATTATGAAAGATGACACTTGGGATTTTTGTCGGAAGCGAATAGCCACAGATTCGGGTAATATTAGATTGCCTAATTGCTAAAGACTACTGATATATGAATTTTCTTCGACATACAGTATAGTTTTTTTCTCGTAGTAATTTGATTTATAATTCGTTTGGTAAAGCCAATATTACTACTGCCACGAAACCGTCCCATTACACACTGAAGATGTTTTCTTGATAATATACATCTATCCTTATAGTAGTTAGCAAAGTACTATATAATAAATAGTACTGAACCAAAAAATGTGGTTTTCTAAGCTTGTCCGTGTATATCATTCACATTGACTAATTCATTTCAAGAAAATCTGTTATCTCTACCATTTATACTTATTACAACAAATTAAACTGAAATTCAAATTTTGCACTTAACTTGCTTAACAGACATGAAATTGTCATAATTATTACTTTTGTCATGGAACTATGATGTTATAGCGCAATTGTATTAAAAATATGGGTAAAAATAGAAAAAATTGGAATAAATCGCAAACTAATAAAAATAGGTATATGACATTCTTAATAAAAGTTGAAGAGTTTGGTAAAATCTATCAGAAAAAATGATAATATATAGGATGTACCATTTAAAAAATTTGAAATTCCTTAATTTTAAGTAGTTCAAATTCCTAAATATATTTTGAACACCCTGTAACATCTAACTAAAATATCTTTACATAGGTCTTTTTCTATATCTCTATAAAATTCTCCTACCAAATTTTAGTTGTCCAACTTCAGAATCAATGCTATCATTGACAATTTTTTAACCCACTGCAATCTAACATTTGTTTAAACAAATTTAAATATAACAAAAACTATTAATTTTAATTTTAGGTATATAACATTATATATAAAAAAGTAATGGAATTTTACGCAGAATCTAAAAATAAAATAAAAAATAGGGTGTTGCATTTAAAAAAACATATGTTATATTCGCCACACTTTTTTGAAGCACCCTGTATACTGTATAATAATTTTAAAACGTGTATCCTAACCATCTCTATAACTTTTATATTTAATATTTTTTTGTAAACCTCGAAACAAATGAGATAATGGACTTTACTCTATCGTTGACTCACCCTGTACACTTCACTTTAGAAGAGGTTCTAAAAAACAATGTTTGACTGCAAGGTCTGCTAGTAAACATGTTTAAGCTTAAAGTTATCACAGCACAATTCATTTAAACGAAAAACTCGTAGTACAAAACTAAAGTGCCAAAACTAATGACCATTTAAAAAAATACAACTTTGATATTTTTTACTTATTTGGGACACTCTGTATCTTGTAAAATTATTTTTAAATTGTACCTCTAATAGTCCTTCATCGAACCCAAAACTTACAATTTGTAAAAATCTCATCGTTTAGCTACAATACTCCGTGTCGTATGTGGTGAACAATCCTGTATATTTATAATTAATTTATTTTTGTTTCCTAAAATATTTTGATTAAAAGAAAATATGCAAAAGTTGGCAGCGCTGTGCCGGCCAAGCTTAATCACGTGACTAAAAGTTCATTTGATAAGAATTTTATTATACAGGGTGTTTCAAAAAACATGTGCCATCTCTCGTGGGGAGATTCATCACATAAAAATAAAATTTATTTGTCATATGAACATAGGTCTGATTCTGCTTTATTTCGTAGCTACAGGGTGTTAAAGTCTTATTATTTTTTCGATTTATTATAATTTTCTTCCAAGTACTTTTAGCGTTTTGAATGAAATTTTGAGGTTAAAAGTTACTATAACTCCTACATACTTTAATGCTAAAAGAGTGTCGATAAACTCATCAGGGACGTGCATATGGGTTATCAGTGATATATTTAAAAAAAACATGTGCGCCACTGAAAAAAAGAAATATAAAAAGAAAATTGTAATAAATCGAAAAAATATTAACACTTTAACACCCTGTAGCTACGAAACAAAGCAGAATCGGACCTATACTGATACGAAAAATAAATTTTATTTTTACGGGATGAATCTCCCCACGAATTTTTTGAAACACCCTGTATATCTTTATTACAGGCGCCAATAAGGATTATAATATTTCGCTGTTTCTACATAATCACTCTGTGGGCAATAATAGAAAATAGTTATACCATAAATATTATGCTTTGATATAAATCATGTTATAACAGTATATTATTATAATACAATTTTTATACTAAGATTTTTGTAAATTTGATATTATAAAATAGGAGTTTTATTGCAACTTTTATATTAGTTGCTCTTTTTATAAACGTTTAACAAAAAAGTTAAGTTTGAATGGTTTTGGAATATTTGATTTTCTATGTTAAATTTTATGATTTGATGCCAAAATAGGTAGATGATAATAACTTTTATGTTAGGTTTAGATGTTAGTTATTTTTTACTTTAAAAGCACATATATCTCAATATATTTTTGTTAAATTGACTTTTAGCAGTTTTTAAGGTACTCTATAATTTTTTAAAATATTTTACAATATTGTGGTTTAGTTCATTTTGTGTTATTTACTAGCTTCGGATATAAGAAAGATCTGATGTAGTATCATAAATCTATATAAATAAGAATTTTTATCTAATAAAATTGTGGTTTTATTTATATTTATACTATACAGGGTGGCGCCTCTCATACGCCGCGGAGGCTCCAAGGAGAACGACAGTTTTTATTGAAATTAAATTTTGTGAGCATATGTAGGTTAATTCAGAGCACTTTTTAAAAATATAGAGAATTCTACAGGGTGTCCCCAAAAAAAGTTACATATCAAAGTTGTGTTTTTTGTAATGGAACACCCTATATATTAATTGATTTTCGGATTCTGGGAGAAAAATAAAGGTGAGTTTCATAAGAGAAGTATATGACTAAAATGTAAGGATTTTGACATATTTAACATTTTCTAGAAATAAAGAACAATTTTAAAATTACAATAAAAGCTACCTGAATTGGAATTTTCCCGGTATAACATAATATGTAGTTAAATTAACTATTGCATTTTAAATCAAATTAAAATTTGATCCAAAAAGTTAAACAGGGCGAGACAAAATTAATATTGAACATTGGTCACCTTTAAAAGCATGTAACTTTTTTATTTTAAATAGAACACCCAGTATATTATTCCGATATTCAATGGAGAATTCATGTCTCTTCAAAATACTATTAAGGTTGCCTACCCCTCAAACAGATTTTACTAGATATTTTCATTTACATGATTTGATCGGAGAAGATCTATATTATTTCATAAAATCTAGGGTGGCTGTGATCTGGCTGACGTTACTTCAACATAGCTATCTAATTAGTCCAACTTTAACACCTAGTCATCATTTTGTGTCAGTTAAAACAAAACGTTTCTCAGAAATTTGCCGAAAACGCAGACTTATCCTATACATCAGAGAGAATTGATATGATTCTATTAGTTGGTAAATGCAGTGTGCATTCGCCATTTAATAGAATACCTAAATACTCCTGACTTTATCTAATCTGGTTTTTTTATAGGGATATGTTAAAGACAGTGTTTACAAAACTCGATCATCTATTGTCGATAACATGAGAGAAGCTGCTTTTCGAGGCAGAACTCCACGTATATGCCTTTTAAAATGAAAAGGTCCTGTTGAAAAGACAATCATTTTATGCAGTTAACAGGAAATGAAGCATGTTGAGCATTTGATTTCATCTAGCTAATTTTTGTCACATAATTATAAGTTTATATCTAGTTTTAATTCTGTTTTAAATAAAATATGTTTTTAACGTGTATCTTTTTATTACCGTTGAGTATTTTACTCTAGAATCTTTAATTTTCGTTAAATTAACAAAATGTATATCACACAGCCACCTAGATTTTTTCAAATACTAAAGATCTAGTGACGCAAAATCATAAAAATTAAAATATCTAAGAAAATCTTTGTCTGAGGGGTAGGCAACCTTAATAATATTTTGAAGATATATAAATTCCCCACTGAATACCGGAAAAATATACTGGGTGTTGCATTTAAAATAAAGGAGTAACTTGCTTTTAAAAGTGACTAATATGCCATATTAATTTTGTCTCACCCTGTATAACTTTTCGGGTCAAATTTCAATTTGGTTTAACATATAATGGTTACTGTAATTAAATATCAGGCTATACAGGGTCAACTAAAATTTAAGTAGCTGTTATGGAAATTTAAAATTTACTCTTCATTTTCACAAAATGTGAAATATGTCAAAATCCTTAGATTTTAGGTATATGCTTCTTTAATAAAACTCACCTTTATTTTTTTCCTAGAATCCGAAAATCAATTAATATATATAGGGTGTTCCATTAGAAAAAACACAACTTTGATGTGTAACTTTTTTTGGGAACACCCTGTATAGTTCTATATATTTTTATAAAATGCTTTCAGTTGACCTACATATGCCGCCAAAATTTAATTTCGATATAAACTACCGTTCTCCTTGAAACTTCCGCGGCGTATGAGAGGCGCCACCCTGTATAACCAAACTACCATTATGATCGAAAAATTATGGTAGGTATTGGATTATGCAGTGAAGGGCTCATATACTATACAGGGTGAGTTAAATAAGTGCAAATATTTATAGGGGTAGTATATTTCGACCCCAGAAACACGTATATGAGGGATGGAAATACAGGAAAAATCCGGTGGCTCTCAAAATTTTTTAAAAATACATATACTTATATTTTTTTAAATTTTCAAACTTGAATAACTCGGTTATTTTGGACTTATTTAAAAAACGGTAAAGAGAAAATATGTTTTTTATCGAGGTCTCCCAGCTCCGAAAATATTTGCACTTGTTTAAGACTCACCCTGTATACCGGGTGCGTCTGAAAAGTGGCTCACCCCTATAACTTTTTTATTTATAAACCAAACCAAACTATAACTTTTTTATTTTTTTCAGATAAAGAAACGAGATTTGGTATGTTAGTGTATGACATAAATTAGGATTGATTGACGTGTTCAATTGTTTTTGGTCATATGTCAACTTTTGAGATTCTCGCTCAATAAAAAGTCGTATTTTAAAATTCAGTCTAGAGTGCCATGGATATGTTAAAAACACTAATTCTTAATCAAGGAGCCTTGGAAAAATAGATTTAATCGTCTAATGTTTTTAGTATCCTGTCTTGGTCAGTTAGTGTGCGAACACAGTGCAAGCAGGTTTGCCGCTTACTGGTAGTCAGCGCCAATCTGGGCACCTATTCTTGACATCGTTCGCAACTTTGCGTATACGCATCACGTGTATTGTTATAAACAGGGTATCCCAGAAATAAGTGCAAGTATTTTAAAGGGTGGTAGATCTCGATAAAAGAAACATATTTTCTCTTTATCGTTTTTCAAATAAGTCCAAAATAACGGAGTTATTTTACTTTGAAAATTTCCAAAAAAAATGATTTTTTGCTCAAATTTTGAGAACCTTCTTCATGTGCCTTCTCCTCATCGGAGGTTGGCGACCATCAATTGGAATTCCTCCCTGTCTTGAGCCAAACGGATAATTGCACTTGCCTCTCCTATATTAAACCATGGCACTGGCGCAAATTCCGCATGCAGGAAAACCGTTTACGCCCGATGCCTCGTCGTCCTTCAATCTTTCCCTCAACGATCAGCTGTAGGAAACTATATTTGTTATTTCGAAAAATATGACCAAAATATGCTGCTTTTCGTCGTTTTATTGTAGTCAATAGTTCTTGGTCCTTACATATTCTTTCCAATACTTCGAGATTTGTTTGAGAACCACTGGATCTTTTCTGGATTTTCTTTCTTATAAATTTAATCTACTACCTATGTTGCCATATTATCAAGAAATTATTTTTTTAAATAAAAACTAAAAAAAATTGCAAAAAAATTCCAAAAATATTTTCAAAAAATTCCGAATTTTCAAAAAAAAATATTTAGAAAAAAACCTCATAGGCGTGTTTCTGGGGTTGAACTATACTACCAGTTAAGTTAAAATACTTGCACGTATTTCTGGGACACCCTGTATATGGTTACATAGTAGCGCCGCGCCGCGCCGCCTCGCGCTTATAACCTTGAAAAATTAAAGCGTGTTATCAAATCGGCTAGTTCACAGTGAAAGCAGGTAGGAGCCGTCAACCAGCGTTCATCGGCGTTCTCGCTTTTACCGGAACGAAAATTTATTTATTTCTGCTTTTGCAGGCGCCGACGGCGCACAGAGGGTATTAAGAACTAAAAGTTGGCCAAAATTATGTTTTATGATTTTTTTGCTTTTTTGCTAGTAATATTAATTATTAGAGGAGAGGGTGCTAATATGGAACCTCATTTTGTTTTTCCTACACAATATTTTTTCCTCTATTCTGAAACCCTTTCCACCGATCAAATAGGGCCATTCTGTGCAAAACCAAGCAATTGGATGAGGATGCTAGAACAAGAAAGTAATTTGTATATTATAGACGATATTTGAGCGAGGATGGGTGTTATAGGGTAAAGACTATTTCCTTTAAGAATCTATTTAAATCAATGTTTTTTTTGGCAGTGGCAAATATTGGCAAGATTTTTGTACATATTCCAAAGCTGGAGACTTTAAGCATTGAACGGATACTAATTTCCATGCGGAATATTGCCGAATAGTCTTACACCTTATAAAAATGCCTCTGATTTTTTAAATATAAAACATTATAAAGAAATAAATAGAAGGAAACGTTTCAAAATAAAAATATGGCATAAAACAGAACAGAGCAAACAAACAAAGCTGGCTCTGTATCCATCATGACTCTTATTATGAACAATTTGCAAAAAAAGCACTACAAACAATTCCAGTATTTTTATAATCTTAGAAATATTCAGAATACACTCAAGATAATTCATAATTTTAACTGAAATATATTATTTATTTGATAGTCAACTTACGACTTAAAAAAGCTAATAACTAATAAACGTGCTTACATTTAGTATTTATAGATTTGTATTCAGTTAAGATAAAAAATGAAAATAAAAAAATATCAATTTTGGCCAGGTTTATAGACCAAATACATCTATCTGCGGCCCCGGCGAGGCGGGCGCGGCGTTTGAATATGGTTTGGTTAGGTTAGGTTAGTTAATCAGGTAAATTTCCTCTTAATTATCTACTTCCGCACCCTTCTCGCATCTCCAAAATAGCCATATACAATACACGTGATGCATATACGCAAAGTTACGCATCTGTGTATTGTTATATGGCTTTTTAGGAGATGCGAGATGCGAGCGATATTTGAAGATGCGAGTGGTCAAGAATAGGTCCCCAGAGACGGCGCTGGTTGCCGGAAAGCAGAAACCTGCCTCCACTATGTTCGTACCCTTAGAAAATGCTCAAATCGTATTTTTAATCATATCTCAATTTTTTCAAATGGATCGAGGGTGGCTCATTAGCATATTTGGAAAAAGCATTTTTTTACGAATAATTTGTTAGCACGCACTTGGTATTTCGAGTCAAATTTACGTTACGAACCGCAAGTTATAATATCGAATAAACCATATGCGAAAATGTCAAAAGTTGACATATGATATGTCATTCTATTCAGAACATTATTTTCTATCAAATAAAGTAAAAAAATACACAGGGTGCCATTTAAAAATCAAAAGTTATAGTTATTTCCGGTGAAACAGGAAGTGACCGAAAACAATTGAATCCATCAATCAATCCTAATTTATGTCATATAATAACATACTAAATATCGTTTTATAATCTGAAAAAAATAAAATAGTTGTAGGGGTGAGACACTTTTGAGACGCACCCGGTATATTAAATTCATTTAAATGTATTTAATAGGTTTTAATAGGATTATTCGATAATTTAAAAGTATCACAGTATTAAAAACACTCCCTCATAATTGGAATTAATTATTTAATTAATTTATTTATTATTTCTTCATTCCTCTTTGAATCCTGATGCGTTATTGATCTCCTGGTTGTGCCATAGCTCTCCTTTGCATGATTTTATTTTCTGTTGCACTACATTGGAATTGAAAATGATGACAGATATGGCTGAACCGAGGAAGGCACCCAGCCAATAGACTATGACGTGTTCAGCGAACGTGTTTCCGGTGCATCCGAATTTTAGCGACGTTGCCAGTGCCGGATTGAAGTAGCCGCCCGAGAAGTTAAACGCTGAAACAAAAATGTGCGCTGTCATTAATTATATTAATGTACAAAGTTAAAAAGTTCTGTAGAGATTTTTATATCATCCAATTATCTATATACAGGGTGGCGCACCACATTCGCCTCTGTTGATTTTACGAAAACGGAAAAATGTAGAAACAACATTTTTTATGGGTATATGTAGAGAGGCAATGTGCATAATATAAAATTATTTTCAAATGTACAGGGTGTGTCAGAACTAAGATCCATACCAAAGTTATATTTTTTCTTATGGAACACACCCGGTATTTTATTTCATTTTTGGATTCTTGGGCATAAAATAAGAAATAAGGCATTTATTTTAAGGGTTTGTTATGTTTTAACATATGTTTATGTATATATAAAGATGTTTAAATATGCATGCTATAATAAAAAAGTTTGCCAACAACATGTACAGGGTGGGTCAAATTCGACGCTTTTAAATGGAAACACCCTTTTCTATATATAGACGAAAACTAATATCGGTGTCTGGAGCTCAATTTTCATCAAAAACATGATGGTGAAAACCGCACATCAATATCTGTTACCGTTTCGGAGTTACCGGGTGTTTTTCAAAAATGTGCATTTTTAACAAATCGCTGTAACTTTTTTGCTATGGAAATTTTTGTATTTCTATGAAAACATTTCCAAAGCACCTTTTTACGTAGAATTTAATGGTTTAAGTATAATTTTTTTAAAATTAATACTTTAAGAATTATCAACAGAAAATTTGATTTTTTATATGGGACACCCTGTATATTTTTAATTTATTGAAAAAATTTAAAATTACCTTTCAAAAATATAACACACTTGATATTTTGCTCGATTCCTCTAAATATAATTAATAATTCCCGCTTTAAATAAGTAGGCTTTGAACGGCACCGGCTGTAAAGCAAAAAATTCTAGCTGTGAGCATCAATTAAAACGAAAATAATATTTGCTATGAGAGATGAAAAAATTTTATAACAATTTAAAATATATTTAACCAACATCAACACATTTAAACTATATCTAATAACAATAAAAATAAATAGCAAACCAAGACATGAGATTTTGCTACAGGTGTTCGACATATCGACCCTCTTCTGTTATAGACAGACGGGGCAGTTTTTGAACATTTCTCGCGGAATTCATTAACTCAGTGGAGGTGAAAGTACCAATACCAAAATACCCTCTCATAACTGCTAAGTATTTCTAATTCTTGTCTAGATTATACGGAAGAATAAAGAACCTTTATTCTACCGCAAATATATCCATAGGATGAGATCCATGGGCACTAAAGGTTGTCGCCCACTAGGCCGCAGCGCGACGCGGCGCGGCGCTATGTGGAAATTTCTTTTGTCTGCTTGCCATGTATTTAAATGGACCAACGCACATCAGAGCGCGCAGCGCAGAAGCGCGCCGCGGGATTTCCGTCAAGAAGTCGGAAGACTTCTCTAGCAACTTTTTTCCGTCTCCGCCGTTTTGGCGCGTTGCAGTGTGCGTACTCACATTGGAAATAATTTTGCATTCGAGTCTTTTCAGTTGGCTTTTTGACTAGGAACTAGTGATACGTATCAATGGTAGAATTGTATTTTTAAAGGTAAATTAGGCAAATCGATTTTCATAAAGGAATATGATATTTTTTTAAGTCTTCCCTCACTAGAGACAGATGGACGAAATGCCGTTCTATCAAAGATTTAATATAATTGAGGGGTGTAGAGGCAAAACCGGCAATCTCCACTTTTTAACAAAAGTGACAATCTCCAATTTTTAAATTCTAATTACCTAAATATATAAAAAAGATCAGGGTTTTTTTCACCACATAACTAATATACACATCAGAATAAATAAGAATTATCAAAAGTATTAGTAATTTGTCTCTTCTGAAAAAATATGATGAGTAGAGATGCTCGGTGTTTTGCTTCTAAAACCCTCAATTGAGGAGTGCGTAAAATGTTTCCTTTATATTTTGTAATACTGAAAAAAATGATCTTGTCTTTTATTAAATCTGGAAAAAGATGGTAAAATTCTCCAAACTTCTTTCTTTTTTTTTAATCGTATGAGTCCAAACTTTTCCTTACCCCCTCTTCCTCTTCCTCTGTTAGAAGAGCACAAAAAATACACTTTCGTCCGTACTTGAACTCATTGCTTTAAAAACTAAACTACAGTAAGTAAAAAACACTTCGACTATAACTAAATAGCGTTGCCGCGTTTCAAAAGCGCGCTATAGTGGGCGCAGTTCCTTCGCAGCCGGAAAAAATTATCTTCCCAGCGCCGCGCCGCGCAGGATCTAGTGGGCGACAACCTTAAGTCAGGCGGTCTCAACGGCCAACGGCTGGGATCTTGGTTAGCTGTTCAATTATTCTTGAAATTGGCTGCAAAAATTTGCTGATAACTTCAGCGTTCAGAGGCGGCGCGTCGTCTTGCTGGAAAAATATGTTTTCGAGTTCCATTAAGGGCATATCATCAATAAGGGGTCCAAAGCCTACTAGTTAAAAGTGGCGAACTTTTTAAAAATTCTGTATTTCGAAGGGAATTATAACAAAATATCAAGTGTGCTATATTTTTTAAAAGGTAATTTTAAATTCTTTTCAGTTAATTAAAAAATATAGAGGGTGTCCCAAAAAAAAATCAATTTTTCTGTTGATAACTCTTAAATTATTAATTTAAAAAAAATTAGACTTAAACCATTAAATTCTACGTAAAAAGGTGCTTTGGAAATGTTTTCATAGAAATACAAAATTTCCGTTAGCAAAAAAGTTACAGCGATTTGTTAAAAATGCACATTTTTGAAAAACACCCCGTAACTCCGAAACGGTAACAGATATTGATGTGCGGTTTTCACCATCATGTTTTTGATGAAAATTGAGGTCGATATAACCGATATTAGTTTTCGTCTATCTCCTATAGAAAAGGGTGTTTCCATTTAAAAGCGTCGAATTTGACCCACCCTGTACATTACTTTTCAGAGTTAATTCTTCTGTTGACTTTGAAGCCAGAGAAATAAACTGTACTAAAAAATGTTATTGCTTCCTTAAATGTATACAGGGGTATCAAGAACTGTTGGTCTATTTTAAATATTTATTTTACATAAAAACTTCGTTATTTCAAATACAACACTATGTTTTTTTTATGTATGGATCTTAGTTCTGACACACCTTGTACATTTGAAAATAATTTTAAATTATGCACAATGCCTCTTTACATATACCCATAAAAATTTGTTTCTACATCTTTCAATTTTCGTATAATCAACCGAGGCGAATGAGGTGCGCCACCCTGTATATCAACTATATATATTGTATTATCTACAAATAGGAGTCATGTTGACATCAAAATCAAATTTCCCATGTCAAAAAACTCCCAGATACCAATTTTCATTCAAATAGTGACGTTAATTCAGAAATTATTTGGAAAAAATCGAAATAAAAATGAAACTTCTACACCCTGTTTCTCTGAAACTAAGCATTGTAGGACACACATTTATACGATTTTTTTTTCTTATTTTTATCTGCAGAATATGGTGCCGAAGTTTTCGGAATACAGTTGGGACCACCCTTATACTCAAAAATTAAAGAATATATTTGAGTAATAGATTTACTAAATGCTTGTCCGTTTTTTAAGATTTTCAACCAAAGATGGCATTGCAAACTACATACACAGAGTTACAATATGATGCGACGTCTTAAATACACTATATCTGATTGGAATTAAATGGCGAAAATACCAAACCAACTTTCTATATGCTGTATGTCCCATAGATAAATGCAGCAAGTTTAGATTGGAAAGCCCGTAAAAATTTTGGGTCGCGAAATTATTTTGGGTCGCGACCGTTATACGCGATCTGGCGCTGCTATAGCGGTCGCTAAGAACAACGGCAAACAAAAACAGAAATAATTTTCTCTTGTCAAAGTCAGAATCTTCAAAAATCATAATAATCTTTCAAAATCTAAACCGCTCTCATTAAAGAAATTCCGAAAAGTTTTTATAGCGTCCATTTACAAAGTAATAATTGCTATCTTGTGAGTTTAATTCAAGTTTTATTTACTCCAACCGGTGATAATTATGAAAAAGTGGCATTAAAAACTTAAAAAGCTGTGCTGTGAACTGTGAACTGCAAAAACCATCGTGGATCGTGGCATAACGGGCATAACGTCGCTTTCCAATGTTTCACAGGTATTTCATACATGCGTCCTTATATAAAATAAAGTTTCTTGTATGCAACACACTGTCTTTTATTTATAAAATTAAACGAAAATAATAATAAATTTGAATAAACAATATTTGGCGATATAATTCCGCAAAAAGCCGAACCGCTCCGAAATTTTCAAAAGTTTTGGGTCGCGACCGTTGTAAAAATAGCGCCAAATAGTGTTTACATTGTCCTTATGGGCACTTTCCAATCTAAAGTATGTCCATTGGCGGTAGACAAACAGAATTATGTCCTTGTGTGCTGTGGACGTACTGCTGTTTGTTTGTCATTGACAGATGGAAGAGTTTTTTTTATAGTACAACTTTAATATTAAGGTGCCCGTTTTTCATGCCGGTGACTGTAGTTTAGATCATCGATGGTAAATATCGATATTTTGCTATTGAAATATCGATGTTTCGGATACATCGATGCGCCGTTTGTATCCCTAGATAAAAGGCGAGAGAAACTATGGAAATACGGAAATCAGAAGTCATAAATTCGTACGAAATTGTGGATTTGTTTTATGCAAATAGCGGTTAGTTTGCTGTATTTGAAAGGTTCCCGAGGGAACGCTGAACCGTGATCGGTATATTTAAGCAGCTATATTTTTGAGTATTAAATATGAAATCTTTCTCCCTTCATACCCGAACTTAAAATTTATCATATTCCGGACGGATTTTCGAATATGGATTTTGAAATATGCACTGTTTAGTTTTTTCATTCCCTAACGAGTATTGTTTCGAAAAACTTCAATATTCAAAACTGAAATGGAATACATATCGAAGACATACATATCGAAGCCTTGTCGAAAAAATTGAGCTCTGCCTGTTTTGCATTAAGGTCTGTTTCTAAGGAGCTTAACTTGTCAGTGGCTAGAACTGTTTATTATGCACTTTTTGAGTCGCACCTCAGATATGCCCTTCCATTCTGGGGTACGTGTTGTGTGAGTCAATTTGACCGCATTTTCAAGCTCCAGAAGAGAGCTGTTCGATATTCACTGGGACTAAACAGCAGCACTCATTGCCAAGACTTTTTTAAAAAACTAAAAATATTAACTCTTCCTTCCATATTTATATTTGAATCCGTTTGCCTAATACGTAAGCATGTATCAGCTCCTCAAGAAAGGCAATCTCACACTTATCCACTCAGGAGCGCGGAGCAAGATCTTTATCTACCTACCCCACACTCAGAGTCAGTTAAAAGTTCAATATTATACAACTCGAAAAAAATGCACAATCACCTGGAATTTGAAATCAAATCCATAACATCATTTTCTTCATTTCTCAAAGCATTGAAATCGTATTTACTAGACAAGGCTTTCTACGCCGTAAATGACTTATATTTTGATAATCGAATTTGATCTTGTAAACATTGGTCTAATATTTGCTGTTACTATATTTACTATAAACTTACTAAAGATTTTTGAATATTATTTTTATTTCTTTTATTCTTTGACATTGTAAACATTTATAAATGTTTATTTTAAACAATAAGACTGACAATGCAATTTGTATACTTATTTTGTATTCTCTTTTGTTTGTTTACTTAACCTGGGAATCTTATCACACAATAGTTCTAAAAAATAACATTTTACAATTTATTTTGATGTTTTTAATTTTGCTTCATATAATGGCGGTCATAGGTCATACAAAAATTCTGCCTTAAACATGGCGAATTATAATGCAACCATTTTATTATAAATGAATCCCTTTCGTCTTTGTTGTAAAATAAAACGGTATAGGGTAAATATCTATCATTACGCAGAATTTCCAGGCACTATAGAACTATTTTGGACATATTGAGATTTGTGACAAATAGATGTTGCCAAATCTCATTTGATTAGTATTTACTAACAAACATGATCAGATTTTCATGGATTCATGCACGCAATGCATTTCATGCGTGCCCGACGAGTGAGCGGCAAACTAAGGACTTGGAAAAACAACAATAAAACAATACAAACATTACTACAGTAAAACTTTTACATTAACGTGGCAACAATGCTTTTAAGAAGCCGGACAACCCGAGAGATTTTGGCTTTTGAGAACCCAGGGAATTGTCGGGATTATTTGCCGTAATTTCGAGAAGTTTTTTCTTACATGCTCTTTATAACTACTACTGCGTTTGTTAACTTTTTTCCAACTTTGTCCAGAATTCATAATAGCTGTGATAGATTATACTCGTACGTAGATATTACTTTTGCAACAACAACAATAACAAAATAAATAACTAGGTATACCATTTAATTTAAAATGAGGTTATATTATACAATACGAGTTTTATAATGCAGATGTTACAGCGAATTTATTTTGTTAATCACAATTTTATCATATAAGGCTATATAACTGGTGTTGTATACAGCACCGTAGTCTAACGCAATAAAACATTCTATCATACAACGTAATACAACTTTAATAAGACAAGTTCAAGTAACTATTATATGGTCTTGTGACTATACTAGTTATATGAATATTATAGAACTCTTACATGGTGGGTATAATAAAAGTAAGAGTCTAATAAAATAATATGTTTGTTATCATATAGCATTGTCTTATTAAGTGTTATATCATACTAAAAGAAATTATCGTTTAATGCGTTATAGGATACTTTGTAAAAACCACTAGAAAATAGTTTAATATGACAACATTTATTAAAAAGCGGAATGGTCGAAACCAAACGCTTAATAAAATCAAGCAGTCCTTAAGACAACGCTATTCGACTGTTATAAAATAATTCAATCCTTTTAGAATTTCTGTTTGCTAATTGGGTAAAGACTTAAATAATATGTTAGAGCAAAATTAAAGCCTACCTGCTACAACCATTAGTGTGCCAAATACAGCATCTAATATGTGACTGTATTTCCAGGATGTTTCTGCCAATATTCTGGATGCTAATCTACAGAAACATGTGAGTGTAGCTTCTATAACTGCACCAGATATCATGTCCACTTGTAGGTCAGCCGTGCAGTCTTCGTAAGCTTTGTCCATGTGCGTTTCAACTAACTCTAATGACCATAAAACTTGAATATACCTAAAATTCCAAAGCCAATTATACTTCGTTATGTTTTGAAAGGACAATCAAAAATTAATTTCAGGTGAATAACAGATTAATAAAATAGAAATTTAAGCGTTTTAAAATATGATCTATGAATATTTTTCATATGTTTGAAGTTATATGTATTTAAATGTTTTGCCCACTTTGGGAGTAGGTCTTTGGCTTTGACCCTTCGTATACTATGTCGCTATATCGAAATATACTTGTTTATTTTTCAAAGCTTCTCTTTTTTTGGTACATTTTTGGTGTTTTTTAATCATAACTGGTAATATAGTTTTAGTTCTGTAATATAGAGTCTTATCACACCTATACGGGATATGATTGCTGTTTCGTTGTTTAGAGAATTTTTGGATTTCGTTTTTGTTTTAGTTATATAGGGCGAGTCAAATATTTTTAGGGGTAGGATATATCGGCCCCAGAAACACGCCTATGAGGGTTTTTTTGCGAAAAAATGTTTGGAAAATTTTGGAAATTTTTTAAATTTTTATTTAAAAAAACATAATATCTTGATAATTTGGCAACATATGTAGTAGATTAAATTTAAAAGAAAAAATCCACAAAAGATCCAATGGTTTTCAAAATAAGGCGAAAAATCATTTTTTTTAATTTTCAAAGTAAAATATCTCAGTTATTTTGGACTTATTTGAAAAACGGCAAGAGAAAATATGTTTCTTTTATCGAGATCTACCAGTCTTGAAAATATTTGCACTTATTGAAAACTCACCCTGTATAAGGATCCAGGGGGTTAGCTGAGTGATACTATATCGAGCAGTTCATGATAAATATACTGAGTACTACTACTTTGCACTACTTCGCCTTTGAAGAAGACTGTCTTCTTCAAAAACGAATATCTCTAATAAAAATCATCAAAAAAGCTATCAAGATGAACCAAGAAACAAAACAAAGTATGGAGAAAAAATGCACTTTGATGATAAAGATGTTTTTGAAATCCTTACTTTATCAAAACATTCTACAGGGTGTTGCTAACTTTTGCCAAAATAACAAAATTTTGTTTTTCCTCGTATAATAGACAGATGAGGAATTTAATTTTTAACTTGAAAAGAGGCTAACAAGTCAAATAATCTCGGTACAGATTGGTTAGAAAATCATAGAAATCGGCCAACTAGAGCAAAATATATTGAACTTTAAAATAGATGAAAATCTTAAGTGTCCATTTTTCGTGCCTGTCACAGTTTTATTGATACGATAATCAAGGAGTTAGCTGTTAGTGAAATTTATTGTGAAAGGGAGCTTCAATAGATGGAAAACTCTAGTGTGAGATTCACTTTTAGTTAAAATACATAAAAATATTAAAAAAAAGAAAAAAAAATAATAGAGTTAAAGACTTATTTTTAATAAACGACTTAAAATGAAAAATAATATACCGTTTGGAGAAATAATAAAATTTAAACAGTTTTATACACACATATCGCGTACAGCCTCAGGGTTCTTTTATTCTCAGACATTTTATTCTGTCGCTTCGCGTCGCTCTATTATCTTCGCAGTAAATTTCACATTGTATGAAGTAATATGGTGCAACAACCTTAGTTTAGAGCTTCGGTTATGGCTACTATTGTCTGCCGGTTTAGGTCTAACGTACTTTATCTTAAACGGCAAGCGAATAAAATGATGTTTTGATCGTTCAATTCTATCTGTTTAATATACTTGTCTTATATCGCCATGATAAACGAATAAAGGTCTAAAAGTCTGTACAGGTTGTCCCATTTTCGTGTGTTTTACAGAGGGTCTCTTGTTTATGAGTAGAGGTACATTTATGCGGTTTTCACATTACTATACTACTTTTTGATGAAATTAAATATGCTACACACAGATTTGTCATTTATCCTAGCCTGAGTTTTTAGTGTCTGAAATACAGGACGAATTTTAAAATGTTGTGTGACTTAAATTTATGTTTTTTTTAATGAGACAGCTGGATATTATTATTTTTATTTTATTTGCTTTATTATGAGCTTTCGAAAAATATAATATACTTTAGTACCGGGTGGCGTCTCAAAAGCGGATCACCTCTATAACTTTTTTATTTTTCAGATAAAAAAACGAGATTTGGTATGTTAGTATACGACATAAATTAGGATTGATTGACATATTCAGTACTTTTCGGCCACATTCTGTTTCACCGGAAATGACTACAACTTTTGATTTTTAAATGGCACCCTCGGTATTTATTACTTTATTTGATAGAAGAAAAGAAAATTGTATCTAAATTTCAATCCAGAGTGAAAAACACTAATTTTTAATTAAGAAACCTCGGAAAAATAGATTTGATCGTCTAATGTTTTTAATGTCTTGTCCTGGCCGGTTAAAAGACGCCCACCCAAATCTTATTTTTAATCATATCTCAATTTTTTCAAATGGAACGAGGGTGGTTCATTAGCATATTTGGAAAAAGTATTTTTTTACGAATAATTTGGTACCACATACATGTTATTTCAAGTCAAATTTTTGTTATGAACTGCATGTTACAATTTCAAATAAACCATATGCAAAAATGTCAAAAGTTGACATATGATATGTCATTCTATTCAGAGTGTCATTTTCTATCGAATAAAGTAAAAAATATCGATAGTGCCATTTAAATCAAAAGTTGCAGTCTTTTCCGATTAGGGTTACCAGATGAAAACTTGTCCACCCCGGATGAAAACTTGTCCAAATCCGGACGTCATAATTTTTTTAGCGATATATGCGGAAAAATTGTTTTTTAGGAGTAAAATGATACTTTTTGTAACGAGGCCGTAGAATGGACGTTTGACATACAGGCGAGGCACAAAAAATCATTTTTACTCCGAACAGAATATGCTATTTTTTTCAAACGCCACAAATAATTTTTTAAACATTTTCAAACGTTCCAAATAATATAAAAATATTTAAAAGTAATATCTTGTATGTAATTATACGTATATCGAGAAACTATGGTTACGCTCGTTGAATTTGACACTATGTCAGTTTTAATATATTTCGTACTTTTGTGCTTAGGCGTAAAAGTGCTTTACTTTTATGCCTACGCGTTATAATTACTTTTTTATGTTGTCAATCACGTCGCAAAAATTAATACTTTTGTGACGTTTGAAAAAAAAATACATTTACAACTTTCAAAACTTCAAACTTACGAAGTAAAACAATGAATTTACGCAGTGTAAATTTATCGACGATTTTTTAAGTAACTAAATTTATTAAAGCTAATATATTATGGTGCGTTTAGACTTGAGCACGCACGAGCTGAGCGTGCGCGCACGGCATTCGTTCGCGCTCTCGGCTCCCTTCAAATTAAAAACTTATTTTTCGACGAATGAAGCGATCCATTTGTGGGCGCACAGCAGAGTTGTGTTGGCGAAAATAATGGACGACTAAGAAATAGTCGAGGCTGCAGTCATTGTTATGCACAGCTTAATTATTAAAAAGGAGAAAAATCTAAAACATCGTCGCTGGTGGCGAACCGAAATTTTTAGAAATCGATATAATTTACTGCAACAACTTAGTGTCTGAGTAGGGCTATGATCAGTTCAAAAACTTTACAAGAATGACCAGACCGGACTTTGAATATTTACAAAATTTAATAACACCAAAAATTACGAACAAAAGATACAAATTTTAGAGCAGCAATTTCATTAATATCGACATATTCAATATTAATTTTAATTACAAGATCTTGCCATGCGATTTTTTTTTTTTTTTAATAATACAAAGAATCTTTAACATTCCATAATATAGGCAACTTTTCATATTCTTCAATTAATAATAACGAAGATTCATTGATCCACTACATAATTTTAATAAAGAAAACGAAAAAAAAATCACACACGCACGCACGAACGCAGACAAGACAAATTGCCGGTACAAACTGAGCGTTCGCGCACACATAAAATCCCTTTGAGCACGGACCAAAAACCGACACCAGACGGCTCACGTTCGCGGCTGCTCGCGCACAGGCAGATTTAGAGTTTTTTACACTCTTAGTTAAAATAGGAATATAAAAAGATATTGCTACCAATAGATACCAATTTTGTATACAATATAAAATCATTCTTTACCTAAAAGTGAGGAATGCTGCAAGCACTTGGACACCGATTACATACAGGGCGTCCTTCAAACACCTGGTCCCTTCCAAAATCTCTTCTATTGGTGAATACGGACATGCTGATGCGTTTCCCCATTTCGTCGACCACCAGATAGTTAATAAAACTAGGAATATTGCATACGCTGTAACTCCCCAATTATCTGCAACTAAATATATGAAACTATGAGAACAACCAGTGAATTTGTTTTTATATAATAAAATATGTGTATAGATATCAAATAATTATAAAATTACTAACTTTACATATATTATTTATCTGATATTGGAAACGTAATTTTCACTAATAATTACTTAATTGTAACTTGTAAAATATAAAAAAAAAAAAATATACAGGGTTTTTGAAGAACATGTGGCATCTTTCGTGGGGAGATACCTCACGTAAAAATAAGATTTATTATTGATTTGGGTTCGATTCTGCTTTGTTTCGTAGCTACAGGGTGTTAAAGTCTTAATATTTTTTCGATTTATTATAATTTTCTTCCAAATATTTTTAGCGTTTCGAATGAAATTTTGAGGGTAAAAGTTACTATAAATGCGACATATTTTAATGCTAAAACAAAGTGTCGATATATTCACCAGGGACGTGTATATGGGCTATCACTGGACTATTTTTCAAAAAAACATGTGCGCCACTGACTTATTTCTTTTGATATCAAAATTGTGTAGGCCGTTTAATGGTAATTAAAAGTTATCTCTTGATATTTTGTCGAATTTAGCCTCATCGATGAGATAAAAGCAAATTTATTAAACTCAATTAATAAAATTAATAAATTATATTATTTATATATTATATTAAATAGTATTACTATTAGTTATTATTACTATTAGTCCGACCTACAGCAATTTCAAATAAATAATGGTTTTTACAACCTAATTTTAAAAAGTTTTAATATTTCTAAAACTTTGGATTTCCATACCCATGTTTATGCAACTTTTTTATATTTTTTTTTGATGAGGAATCAATGAGTAATTATTTGAAACTTTCGCAAGTTAATGATATTAAAATTTTTTAACGGTTGCTACCTACACTGATAAAAAAGATAGACTTGAACTAAAGTCGTCGTCGTTCTTGAAAAAATAAATTAGTGGCAAGAAAATTTATTTTAGGGTAAAAGAAAATATTTTGCTTGAAGAAAAACTCTCTTAACTCAAGAAAACTGGTTCTCTTAAATTCGAAAATTTCTCTTGAATCTATTTTCATTCAACCAAGTGCAAGTTACTTTGTTTTAAGATAATAAGAAAAATACGCTAGGAAGTACTTCATTCATTCGTTCGAAATTATTTCAATTCAAATAAAAAAAAGTTTGGCAGTATTTTTAGATATTGCCAAAGCATTTGACACCGTTTCTCATGCAAAGTTGCTGAATAAACTGGAAAATATTGGTGTACGAGGCGCGCCACTAGCACTTTTTAGGAACTACCTTTCTAATAGAAGACAAAAAGTAAAAATTGGAAATATACTTAGCGACCCTCAACCTATAACAACGGGAGTACCACAAGGAACTACTCTAGGACCGATATTGTTTTTAATATATATCAACGGAATAAAAGATGTGGCCACAAATGGCAGTATAATTGCATATGCAGACGATACCGCTATAGTTTTTACAGGAAATTCATGGGATGAGGCTTATGAAGCAGCAGAACAAGGTCTATGTAAAATACGGGAATATCTTGATGACGGACTATTAACATTAAATATTAAAAAAACAAGTTTCATAACCTTCACTCTTACAAGTGTTGATCAACCCCAAAAAAATTATTTGTTGGTTCATTCTCAAAATTGTCTAGTTAATAATATATGCCAAAATTGTCCAAAAATAAATAGAATTTCTTATGCTAAATACCTCGGAATAAATGTAGATCAGCACTTGAGATGGAAGGAACATATTGATTTAGTCAAGAAAAAAATAAGAAGTATGTTTCATAAGTTTTATCAAATGAGGGAATTTATGGAAAAGAATCTTTTGATTACTCTGTATTATAGCCTTGTGGAATCTATTCTCAGATATTGTATTATTGTTTGGGGATCAAGCTTTAATAACATTATAAAAAGTCTTGAAGTTTGCCAGAAAAAAATACTAAAAATAATCTTAAAAAGGAACAATGGATATCCAACCGAAAATCTATTTTTAGAGGCTGAGGTATTAGATTTGAGATGTCTATATGCTCATTCTATTGTGATGTACCTTTATAATAAACCTGAATTACGGAGTGTACAAAATCATAACTATCTCACAAGAGCGGTAAGTAGTAAAACTCTCAGCGTTCCATGTTTTCACAGATCTCACGTACAGAGAACAGTACTTTATTTTGCACCTAAATTGTTTAACGTAATTCCATATAACGTACGTATAATTAACCAGCAGAGAAAATTTAAGATTCTTTCAAAAAAATACATAACTGATAATAAAAGCGCGGTACACAAAATACTTGCATTGAACTAAAAATAAGTTTTAAAATTCATGTAACATATAATATAATTATATAAAATAAAAAAAAATAAAATAAAACATATAAAATGTACATCCCGCTGGCCTCTCTCATCCCCGCCAATTGCCGCTCATTATTTGGGACACTTGTGCTTGTTTTATGTTTGTTTTAGTGCAGGAAATTTATGCACACTGGGTTTTTGAGTTTTTTTTGTTTCGATTGTTGTACATAGTTTCAGTTTGCGTATTTTATTGTTTTTTTCTTTCTATTGCACCTATGATTCATTTCTTTGATATAGTTATTACTTATTTGTTAGAGTGTCTAGCACACACAGCAATTGAATTTGCTAGGTGCTATGAAAAAGAAGTAAGAGTATCTATCACAGCATTTTTGATACATCGGTGTCCGAAAATTACCAGAAATAAGTTGTTATAAAAATTTTCACATTCAAAGAAACATTCGAAGTTTTTCCTATATTTAGGTTTATTATATTATTTTTTTAGTATAAACTTGACTTATTATTATGCAGGGGTAAGAATAGTTAAAGAATTTTTGTTTTAAATTGATTTGTTATTAAAGTTGTTATTATTCAAGAAACATGGTCATTTTTCCAATAGCTAAATACTACTTTGATGAAGAATAATAACAACACGCAAAGACGATAACGAAGGACGGTGTATACAATCAGTCGGCAGTCCGATCAGTCGTACATCATAGTACGCACGGATTTTGTTGCTTGGAATTTTTCACTTGGAATTTTGCATAATTTGCTTTTTAAACGCATATCGTATAACAAATTAGTGATCGTTATTAACATGCATTTGTCATTTTTTATGGACAAATTTTAGGATATATGGATTCTTTAAAGGAGTTTCTGAAAAAATGGAAATTAGAGCATTTATTTGCTATATTTCAAGGTAAGAGACATTTACCTAATGCACCTGTTTAGATAATGCATGTGTGACTATAGATAGAATAAGAATATAGGTATCGATTTTTTTATGCAAATAATTACAAAAATTTTAGAATTTCAAGTCGTCGTATTAAAAAATACAAAATGTGACCAAAGCTTATAATTTTAATAATGTATTTGCTTTACTTTGAAATCGTGATGTAACATTTCTTTATAATTTGTAGAGTGATGAACCACCCCAAAAAATACCAAGAAGTGAAGAAGCAGAAATAACTACTATCGAGGAAAATAATATCACTTTACTTACTACAGACCAGGAAAACCTAAATTTATCAGAAAATAATATACCTCGTAATATGCCTGTATAATATGATGTATAGACTTCTCTTAGATCAAAATAAATTTTAGTTGAGTCAATAGTATTCGCTATTGGTTTAAGAAAAGTGTCTCTTTAATCAAGAAATGTCCTTTTTCAATCAAGCATTTTTGCATGAATCAAAGAGACTATTGTTCTTGTAGCAAGAACTTCTTTGCATATTCATTTTGGGTCAAGAGTAAAATACTTTGGACAGATTGATTCTTCTATTCTCTAAAGTAATTTTTTAAAGCTTATGAAAAGATAGTTAATGCTTTGGGCAAAGAAACGTCGTTCTTGGCCCTATTGAAAAGCGCCAATCTTGTGGGTCAAAGTCATATTCATTGTAGTTTCAGTGTAGACTTCGGATCAAGGTAAATTAATAAAATTGCGTTTGTCTCATCAAGGAGGCCGAAATCAACAAAATATCAAGAGACAACTTTTAATCGATATTAAACTGCTTATACTATTTTGCTAACTAGAGAAAAAAAGTCAGTGACGTACATGATTTTTTTAAGAAAAATATTCCACTGATAACCCATATGCACGTCACGGTGGATATGTCGACACTTTTTTAGCTTTAAAATATGTCGCATTTATAGTAACTTTTACCCTCAAAATTTTCTTCGAAACGTTAAAAGTATGTGGAAGAAAATTATCATAAATCGAAAAAATATTAAGATTTTAACACCCTGTAGCTACAAAACAAAGCAGAATCGGACCTATGTTGATATGAAAAATAAATCTTATTTTTACGTGAGGAATCTTCCCACAAGAGATGGCACATATTTTTTGAAACACCCTGTATAAAATAAGTATCGAGATCGTTAAAAAGATTCATTCAAGCTAATCATTCTCCTTCAATCATCCTTCACACCTACTATACGATTGAAAAAAAAAACGGTGTTCAAGATGGCTGAGGAAGAACAATCGATGATAATTTTTGGCGAGGTCGAGCCCTAGGCGCCTTTATTTAGAATTATTTGTCTGAAAACGTTCAATTCTTTTTTAATTTTTCTATAATTGTTAATTTTTGACAAGTTTTATGTCAATTTTAGTAAATAGGGTCTAGAGGTGTACCTCGCCAAAGTTATCATCGATTGTTATTCTCCAGCCGTCTTTGACGCCGTTTTTTTTTCGGCAATACGGTAATATAAAGCATTTTCAAACTTTTTCTCTACTTACCAATAATTAATTCAAAACAACAAGCGCATAACTCTAAAGTGGCTATAAATTCGTAAAGCAAGTCTCTAACTACTTGTTTTGATTCGTCTATAAATCGTTCTACTAATTTTCTGGCTAAATTGGCTAAAAGTAACGTTAATAAAATATAGCTGGTGGAAATTATTAACGGATTTACGCCATAGATGTTTCTTCTCTTACTGAAACAAACAAAATAAATAAAATTGATTTACTTGAGAGGTTGTTTACTAAAGTATATGACAAATATTTTCTTATTTAATGCTAAAATAAATAAACATAATTTTATATTGTTTATTTGAATTAAATTAATATGTGTAGAAATGCAATTTAAGTCATGTTATCATCATTTTTAGGTGATTCAACCATTTCCAATTATGGTGTAGCCTCCTTTACATATTTAGATACTCTCTTTGTAGTTAGGCCCATTGTTTGTTTATTGTTGGCTATGCGGGCCAATGTTATAACTGCTAATTTCCTAATATCATGGTCCCATCTCAGCTTTGGTCTTTTTCTAGGTCTCTTAATTCCTTGTGGGTATCATGAGGTAATTTTTGTGGTCTATCCGTTGTCCGTCCTTCTTGCCAGGTGTCCTGCCCATCAGGGGGGTGACAGTAAACCGGAAAATTGGAAACAGTTCTGGTGCGATCCTACCCAGGCAAAAAGCATGGCCTTCTAGATTGTCCTAGAAAAAAAATTGAATATTTCTCTATGATTTCTGTTACGGAACATTTTTATGCACGTCGGCGTCCTCTTCTTTTGTCTGTGTGTCAGCTCCGGAGGCCTCTGGCAAGATCGGGCGCCATTTTAATTTTTGCCGTTTAGATTTGATAGGAAGTTTGTTTATGATCATAGCAATGATGTTTTTTGATATAAAGTTCCTTGTTAACACTTTAATAAAGTATATATGATATTAATTACATGAAAAAAATTATGAAATCGGCGTTTCTACATATAGTAGAAACAAATGAGGTATTTATCATTTTATTATTATATTTTTTATTCATTTTATTTTCATTTAAGTCCTGTTTGATTTAATTCACCAAAGTCTTATGTACTTATATTTATGTTTTTTTTACATAATTTTTTTATTCCAGGTTTTGTGTGGGTTCCGGTTGCCTTTTTCCTGCTTCCAGTTATTTAGTTTTATGCCCGTGAAGCTGTGAAAATAATTGTTTATCTTCAAGTTTCTGTAAATCAATGCACTGTTACTTTACTAATTCACTTTAACACAGCATCTCTGATATTATTTAAATATTTGATATTGATACAGTAGTTTATGTGTTTATATCTCTTTAATTGTATTGATTTAGCGGCGGATACAGAGGGGGGGACCATGGGGCTCCGCCCCCCCTAAAAACTGTAAATTGTGTTAAGTATTAGGCTTTTGGGTTAAAAATAGCACCTAAAAAGCAAATTCTATACTACTTTTTTGATTTGCCCCCCCCCTAAAATAAATTCCTGTATACGCCCCTGTATTGATGTTCTACATTTCAAATAAATATTTTTGAGTAATTTTGTTGTATTATTTACTACTAGAAAGAGTAGTAAGTATATTAACCCTCATTTAAACCTTCTGAACAGCCCGCCATTAAAATCCGGAAACGGAAATAAATTTAATAAAATTGAAATTGTCATGTCAAATGTCCCAGTTGCCATATCTGAAAATTAGTTACCCAGGCAGCCGCACTGTTTCCATGATTTAACATTGACGTGACACTTCTTGTATTTATTATTTTATGTTGCCCATTGCCACTTGAGAGATTCGACTCTGTGGATGACATCCATTACCTGGGTCTTTTGTCGTATCCACTCTATTCTTTTACGGTCTTTCTTGGTTATTCCCAACATATTTCGTTCCATTAAGCGTTTGCGACCTGTAGTTTCCTTATAATGTCCGAATTAACCAATAACAAATATAAATAATAAATGGTTTTTATAAATATACTATAGCCAACGGCAGGATCCCTGTTCTCACAGGTTATAGGACCTGACAGGTGTCTGTCATTTGCATTCACAGGCAAATTATACTTTCTGTAATTTTTTGGATGTTCCATGTGTCATTGGACAGACTATACCTTCTGCGAATAAACTCAACATACGGTATAATAGTTTAGTATACTTATTATTATTTGTAACTCACTTGTATCCTAGAATGCCTAATTTCTTAACTACTTTTGTTAAAGCTCTTTCCACAGTCCATTTAGCCATTGATTCACTAAACAATCTTAGATAACTTTAACGTAAATTATACAATAATACACAAATATTCGTAGTAAATTAGTGCGGACAGTTGGAATCAAAGCAGAAAACTGAGTTATTAATAGTTCATTAATAACTCGGTGTTTTGCCAAGATTTTTTCCCGCTCACTATAAATAGTTACGATTATGTACGCGAAACAGAAAACTGCAATTTCGATAATAAAAAATTTGAAAGAAATACACAAATTGTTCATAATAAGATTAATAAGTTCAGTGTCTAAATGATATAGTTGTTATAAGAAATAATAATTGTTCATACTGGAGTGATATGAATGCGAAATGCAGCAAATTTTGATAATATAAACAAATTATAAATGTACAGGGTGTCCCACTTAAGATGGATACAAGCCAATATCTTGGTTGTTTGCTGAGCGATTTTTTTCATTTTTGGCATGAGGCTGTATGGCTATAAGACGTACATTTTGCCCAGGGTAAGAAATGCGATACCTCATAGACGTACGTTTTAATGGGGATTGATATTTTTCGAGTCAAGAGTAAACTACCATTGGGACAGTATTTATTTCAAATCTGATAAGTTATATTTAATCCTCCTTACCTAAGATACTTAAGTTCTAATTTTGATAAATATTGTTGACAGGGTGTGTCATTAAAATAAGCCATTTTTATTTTTAATATTATTTTTTAAGTACTTACGACGCCACTGGATAAACAACAGGTTTCTTATCAATAATCAATTATAACCAATTATCAATTAATAATCGATTTAAGTTTTCAGATAGCTCCCATAATAATTAAGATACGATACAAAAAAACTAAATATTTTCAATTTATTTTGTTTACTTTAAAAAATTGTTTTTTAAGTTTGCTAATACAAATGAATAAAATGAGTTACAAAATAATTTAAAAACCCAGTTTTGAATGGAATCTGAAATATGATTTTTATTCGTTTTATTGAGAAATATTTAAAAAAATCCAAATAGTTAGATATTTAAAACAATCACTATAAAAAAAAATTCCCATAGCCATCTTTGCTGCAAGCGGCTGCTATAAAACTTTGTATTCATAAGTTTAGCATAAAATAGAGAAGTCATACCCACCAACAAATAATCGGGACTCGGTGGGACTTTTTGATAATTACGAAAGAAAGATGCAAACTATATTAAATTTCTCTGAAAAATGTATATTTTCACGGAGAATAGAGTTAAATAAACACCCAAATGTTTCAAAATTTCTTTTAAATTATTCGTTAAAGTATGGGCTAAAACTTTTATATGGGGCACATGAATGAAGTCATTTATTTAATCCATAATTTGCTCTATAAACTTCCCACATATTAAATATCTTTAACAAGAAACGCATATATTGTATTTCCATAATATATAGGTGGCTGATAAATATATTCTTTGATTATTTTTTCATTTTCAGTTAAAAAACAGAACATTTTAATAAATAATATCTTAACAAATGATACTAAAACAATTATGTTTCAGTACACAACATGACGTATTTTTATCCATATAAAAAGTCGATATATATAAATAAATTTTTATTCTGTTTTAACAAAAGACTCAGATCTGTACAGGGTAGGTCAAATTCGACGCTTTTAAATGGAAACGCCCTTTTCTATAGGAGATAGACGAAAACTAATATCGGTGTCTGGAGCTCAATTTTCATCAAAAACATGATGGTGAAAACCTCACATCAATATCTATTACCGTTTCGGAGTTATGTTTTTCAAAAATGTGCATTTTTAACAAATCGCTGTAACTTTTTTGCTATGGAAAATTTTATATTTGTATAAAAACATTTCCAAAGCACCTTTTTACGTAGAATTTAATGGTTTAAGTATATATTTTTTTAAATTAATAATTTAAGAGTTATCAACAGAAAAATTGATTTTTTATTTGGGACACCCTCTATATTTTTAATTAACTGAAAAGAATTTAAAATTACCTTTCCAAAAATATAGCACACTTGATATTTTGTTATAATTCCCGTCGAAAGACAGAATTTTTAAAAGTTCGCCACTTTTAACTAGTAGGCTTTGGGCCCTTTATTGATGATATGCCCTTAATGGAACTCGAAAACATATTTTTCCAGCAAGACGACGCACCGCCTCTAAACGCTGAAGTTATCAGCAAATTTTTGCAGACAACTTCAAAAATAATTAGATAGCTAACCAAGATCCCAGCCGTTGGTCGTCGAGGCCGCCTGACTTAGTGCCCATGGATTTATGGATGGATATATTTGCGGTAGAATAAAGGTTCCTTATTCTTCCGTATCATCTAGACAAGAATTAGAAATACTTAGCAGTTATGAGAGGGTATCTTTCACTCCCACTGACTTAATGCTTCCGCGAGAAATGTTCAAAAACTGCCCCGTCTGTCCATAACTGTGATATGATATAAGACGGTCGATATGTCCTGTAGCCAAATCTCATGTCTTGGTTTGCTATTTATTTTCATTGTTATTAGATATAGTTTAAATGTGTTGATGTTGGTTAAATATATTTTAAATTGTTATAAAATTACTTAAATATTTATTACCGCCGGTGCCGTTCAAAGCCTACTTATTTAAAGCGGGCGAATTTTTATATACTCTATATCTCGAAGAGGAATCGAGCAAAATATCAAGTGTGTTATATTTTTGGAAAGGTAATTTTAAATTATTTTCAATAAATTAAAAATATACATGGTGTCCCATATAAAAAATCAAATTTTCTGTTGATAATTCTTAAATTATTAATTTAAAAAAAAATCTACTTAAAGCATTAAATTCTACGTAAAAAGGTGCTTTGGAAATGTTTTCATAAAAATACAAAGTTTTCCATAGCAAAAAAGTTACAGCGATTTGTTAAAAATGCATATTTTTGAAAAACACCCCGTAACTCTGAAACAGTAACAGATATCGATATGCGGTTTTCACCACCATGTTTTGACAAAAATTGAGCTCCAGACACCGATATTAGTTTTTGTCTATCTCCTATAAAAAAGGGTGTTTCCATTTAAAAGCGTCGAATTTGACCCACCCTGTACAACTTATACTTATAACTGAATAAATAAGATTAGAAAATAGTTTCTGGTTTCCTTAGCAACAATTTGTTTTCAATTTCGGGTCCTTTATAAAACCTCGTCTTTCATCGCTTGAAAGCCATTGGTCAGCGCAAAATGGACGCTGCATAGCTCAAAAGACCGATAAATGTGTGTCCGATGTTCAATTATAGCTTCTAAGAGACCGACTAACAAGTTTAAAGGAAAAACTAATGCTTAAAGTGACGCAAAAGCGATAAATTGAAATAGTTGTGTGCAGTTTACTTCGTTAGAACGAACCCTTTATACTTACAGAATTTTAAATGGAATATAGGAAATACAATTGTGAATGATTTAGAGACAACATTTTTTGAGTCCGGGTTTTAGAGATTCCTTGTCAGGATACAGTCTCAGGGTTAATATTAAGGGTTCTATGTTAAAGAAAAACTAGGAACCATCGATTTCATCAGATGCTTTCCAATGCTGAAAAATAAGGACAGTTCCCATTCCGATTTAAAAATTGGAGTGCAAAAGAGGTGTCACTTAGTGCAGCTTAAGGACATAAATATATGGCCGCTAGTAACCATAACAGATTCACCCTCAACATCCTTAAACCAAACGTCTTTAACTTCTTCGTCTGAACCTGCTCAAAATCTCAAAATAAACATCATTTAGAACCGCAAGCTACCTCATCTACTTGACCCACCACTGGCAACTATGCCAAGGGAGGTAAGAACTATTAAGATTGGTTCTGACAGGGAGGCTATAGCTGCTTGCAAGTCCCTGGCGATGGAAAATCGAGAAATAATTGTGCAGGAAGTACGAAGAGAGATGGTTTGATAGTTATGGACCACCATAGTGCGGCTGTCTCAGGACTCAGATGCGGTAAATGGACGTTACGTGTTGGCCAGGTTGAGAGACCTCTCCATTTTGAAATCTCTTGGGCTATTCCTTGCTTATCTTCACGACCAACCATCCAGTGTATGTTTTGAAGGATTTATGAGTACCAGCATCAAATTGATGCTGGCATCAGAAGGGCTACCTAGTGACCTAGATTCCTTACGTAAGTTGTACTACCGCGTCCATAACGCTTTTGGTATTGGTTCAACTGAAGTTGATGCAGATCTTTCAGCCTTCAGGTCACTCTTTTCTGCAGAGAGCCTTCTACGACTTCTAAAGATTAGGGAAAGTCATGGTAAATCTTATTCCAGTGGCTCCCCAAAGAAGAGTAAACATTTTTAGTTGAATTGACGCGAACAGAGGATCAAGCACCCTGTGAAAAATTAAGCGATAGCAAGCTTGGTCTATTCCTTATTAATATTCAGTCCTTAAGACATAAAACAGATGAATTATGATCTTTTACTAGAAGAACTTGAATTTCCAGATATCATTGCCATAACTGAGCACTTGTTAAATTTTGATGAGCCTGTGTTTGTTAAAAATTATACCACAGTAGCCAGATTTAATAAAACAAATTTATCTCATGGAGGTACTATGATAATGTCTTTAAAGAACGACTTTTCCGATGTAACTAACTAACTCAATTAAAATATGAAATTTTGGGAGATGTGTTTGGTTTTAAAGGAACTTTCTATTGCATTTTCCAGAGCGAACTTTGAACAGTTCATTCGAACAAGTCAAGAGGAAAATAATAAATGTCCTGGCACTCGTTGAACAGGTTTTCCTAATTTAAAAGTCAAATAGTTATTTCAACAACCACTCTAAGCAATGGCATTTTGAAAAGAAAGAAAAATCTTTACGACAAAAATAAAGTCTAAAGTTCGTGTTATGAATCTCAATCTTAGTTTAGTTGTCAATCTGAGTTTTAGCCATTATTTCTTTGTACTGTGTTAATGGATATAAGTAAAAACTTTTAAATTTATTTAGAAATCTATACTAATATATAAGATCCTGCTCAAATCACTCAACGTAAGAAGCTCAATTTTGGCATACAGGTTGATTCTAGGGTCTAGAGGTTCGATAAGAAGGGATTTTTCCAAATTTCAGTTCCAAGGGGGTGAAACCACCCCTCAAATATAACAATATTTTTTATTT